TGAGAAAATATAACATGATATTTAAAGCAAAAGATGCTGGAGTCAATCGAAAAAGAAAACCTTTGACTTTGTATTATTGTCGTAGTTTGTATGGGCAAAACAAACAACCAACAAGGCTACAAAAACGTCTATACAACACCAAAATCGTACGAAATATGAAACTATTGTTGAAGAAATAAGATTACAACTCGGGTAATGTAGCCTTCATTTTTTAAACTTGTAAGCTGCTTGCAGAATGTTATCGAGCCACAGCCATAGTTCATATTTTTCCGTACGAATCAATAACATTTGACATTCTCTTGTGATTTTTTACTGTTATTTTCTTTCATATTTATGTCAAATTCGAAAAATTATACTTCCATTCCATAGTTGTCTTGATTTTTCACGGAATAACCTTTATATTGACGATAAAATCTCAGTAAAATACTGTTTTTCGCTTCTGGATAAACACCATCGCTACGTTGTCATTTTTTCCACACCAAAAACGGGAGAAAAACCGGTCGCTTTTATAATATACTCGTTTACCGCTTTCGTTGTGGGCACAAAGTCTTAAAATACACACAAAAATCGTTATAAATCGCAAAAAGCAACAAGAAACAAGTTGTCAAAGTCGACACAATAGCATCTGAATTTGGCTTGTCAAGCAGTTTTCGCTTGTTTTCCCGCGTTTTGTTCCCGTATCCTAGGATACGAGGCCTCGTCACGATTTATGAATAAGGTCTCTAGCACAAAAGTTACAGAACTACCGTTGCTATGGCGACGATGACGTTGGGATAAGGTGGATATTTTGACTTTAGAACAAAAACCTTGAAAACGACATCGATAACCCGCAAATTTTATTTCAAGAAAATGATTTCTCTTGGTAAATGCAATTATCTTGACAATTTTACAAAAATCTGTTAATCCATAAAACAATTATGCCATTTAATAAGTTCTTTGTACGTTTGCATTGCGATAAAACATATAATAGTTTTGTTTGTGGAAACACCACGTAAATTTATTACTGCAAATTATGCAATTATTAATTATAATAATTTTCTTTTTAGTAACGACCAGAAGGCTTTTTTTAAAAAAAATTAATAAATTGTAACAACGTTTCGGAGTTTACTCCATCATCAGGTTACATTTATACGCACGTGCGTATAAATGTAACCTGATGATGGAGTAAACTCCGAAACGTTGTTACAATTTATTAAATTTTTTTTAAAAAAAGCCTTCTGGTCGTTACTAAAAAGAAAATTATTACATTTAAATGAGGCTTAGAGAAAGTTCGCTTCTAATCACATTGAAGAATTATTAATTAATTATGCATTTTGAAACATTTTTGGCACAACATAATTTTTTAAAATTGTCAAAATAGGCGAGTACACAAAGAGATATCATTTAATGAAATAAAATTTGGTGGTCAACTTATGGCAAAATATCCGCCATATTGAAACGTCATTGTTGCCCTAGTAACGGCAGTTGCGTATCTTTTGTGACAAATGTTGTTTTTTCACATAAATAAAATGCTATTTGTTTTTCAACAATTAAGTAATATTTGTACAAAAATACGGACATAAATCCTTCAACTTTTTATTTTTTAATAAACCTTAACACTGCAATTTATTTCCTGTTCTCCCAAACTCCCACGCATGTTCTCATAACTGTACAGAAACACGGGAAATGTTTTCTATTTCGTTAATTGGAATCACTTCACTATACGTTTGAAATGACGTGGTTGACGTGCCGTTTAATTAAATTTTAAACGACGCGAGCCAACAGATCACGACACTTTTGTATATAAAAAGAGCGTGTAAATTAATAAGTCACATATTATTAGCACTGACGAAGATCTGGGCTTACGGATCGAAAGCTTTACAGTAATAAATTTACGTGGTGTTTCCACAAACAAAACTATTATATTTTTTATCGCCATGCAAAAATACAAAGAACTTAAATAGAAAACTCTTTGAAATTAGCATCACGGAACACCTTTCGTCTGTCACCAAGGAGCTTTTATAGAACAAAGCTTACAGAAATCCAGGTTCTGCTAGTTGCTGCATCCATTACCCAATGGACTCTCTCTATATATATATATATCTGCAGGAGCTAAAATTTCAGTCATTCGGCCTATGAGAACCTTGTAGCAAAGATGGCGGGAATTGACGTGCAAAAGCTATGAAGGTCGTAAACAGTTTTTATAACCATTTTTCCCAGCTAGTTTCAGTTTCGTCCAACGGACTGTAACGCTAATCAAGTTTTCAGTTCATAAAATTATAATTCGACACACACCTTATTTGAGGGAGAGTTAGAACTGGCTCGGGCAATAGATAGATGGGGTCTACATTCAGAACCTGGCATAATTCCTGTGATCAGCCTAGGGAAATTGTGAAAGTCGAATTAAGTGGCAGTCCCGCTAAGAGCGGTCCGATGACTTTGACTTCGGAAAATAGATTTCCTTTATTTTTTGTGTGTTGAAAGGCATTGGTATACAAGTGTCCAAAATAAATTTATTTTTTGAAAATTCTTTTTTATGGCTTCGCTAGACGCCGAAACTCATTTCACCCGTGCAGAGCTAATTTCAAGCAAAATCGAAGGTTGAATTTTGGTAAATTGTAGAGCCGCGCTGTGTCAAAACGCCTGACTATTTTCAAATTTCAACTAGATCAACAAGTTAAGATACAATTCAGGTTCCCTGTTCCAAAAAATAAGAGCATTTGAATAAATTGTGAATAAACGACAGCGACTTGACGGCACACCAGTTTTTGCTTCTTGTTCGGTCTACAAAATTACACTTAAATCGAAGCCTGAGATCTCCAAATGGGGACCTAAAATTACGCTGAAATGTGCTTGGCTGTAATGATTTATACTTATTTTCAGAAGATCTGAAGAAAAACCTGCGGGTATCAATCTGTATTTGGCGCGAGTTAAGATTTTCTGGAGCCCATAATCAATGATTTTTGCATAATTTATAGCTAATTAACATATTTCTTGAGCGGCGCTAAAAGTAAACAATTTCTTTCTGACTAACATATCTCAGATGAAAGAAACTACCACAGCTAGTAATACCCTTTTTGTAAATATAGTCGTAATGTTCTTTTCCTGACACGCTGAGAGAGCTTTGTTTTTGAATGTTACGCCACATTTATTCAGTCTGACCAGATTCATAAATGTAACGAACTTGTATATTTAAAAAATATCAGTACCAGAAATCAGAATTCAGAAATACCGATTATTCTTTCCTTGATTCAGTTGATGGATTTAGTTGATTGATTTAAAAAACTATAAGTATAATAGAACATTCCATGTGTTTCCATTACCCCTATGTAGGGCTAGAATTTTTATATATCATATTAACAAAATACGACACAAAAATGTACATTCGAATTTATGACCGACATATCAGAATGTTATTTATGAAGTTTGAATTGAATTTACTTAACGCGAAATAAATACTAAAATAGGAATTTTCTATGCTGGTTTAGTAAAAGAAAAAGCATAATTTTAATTATAATATAGTCATCCACCGTATATGAGCTGTTCTGCAATCTGATTGGTTGAATTACTCGCCGTATATCAGCTCATATACGGCGAGTAGCGAAAAACAAGATGGCGGTTCAAAAACTACATGAGTTTTGCGAAGCAGAAAAGGAAAATATTCCCTTTGAGAATAATAATATTACAAGGAAAAACTCTCAAAAAAAATTTGACAGTTAGTAAAATACATTCATTACGTAGAAATTAGTTTAAATACAAGTTTTTTAAAGAATTAATACCGAAACAACAGCGAAAAAACATGTTCATTGAGAATATAAATTGTTCAGAAAAGTTTGCAATGAACGACAAATGAATTTGCAGTCAACAAGCACTTACTATAGTACCAAACTTCTGTATAATATATCTGAGCTTTCCTGTGAGATATAGAGGTTCTAAAACCATTTCTTTCACTTCGTCTTCGAGTTGTAAAACAAAAGTATTTCAAATTTTCAAGCGGTTTTTGGCCGAAAAACTTGTCAACACATTGTAACAGTGAATAATTAATTACTGCTTTAGTTAATGGCTTTATTAGACTATATTATAAAACAATTATACCATTCGCTCTCGTCGTATATGGCTGATAGCCGACTCGGTGCTACGCACCTCGTCGGCTATCAGCTCATATACGACTCGAGCTTATGGTATAATTGTTAATTGTATGTAATTTCGATGAATACTATAAAAAAAAATTATACGCATTGTTTATATAAATTAGCTAACATTTACACATTTATTACGATAGTAGCGACGTTTGTTTTAGCCATGTTACAAAATAAACTATAAGCATTCTGAATTTTAATTCACAAACTTTTGAAATTTATTCTCAGCTATGGAGCTCACGAATATATATTTTTTTTCAAAGAAAAATATTGAAATTCAATTATTTATAAAATTGATATTTTTGTTAAAAATGTTAGCTAATTTATATAAACAATGCGAACAATTTTTTTATAGTATTCATCGAAATTACATACAATTAAAATTATGCTTTTTCTTTTATTAACCCAGCATAGAAAATTCCTATTTTAGTATTTATTTCGCGTTAAGTAAATTCATTTCAAACTTCATAAACAACATTCTGATATGTCGGTCATAAATTCGAATGTACATTTTTGTGTCGTATTTTGTTAATATGCCGTCGCTACAGAAAAATAGAGCATATTGATAAAAATTCTAGGCCTATATAGGGGCAATGGAAATACGTGGAATGTTCTATTATACTTATAGTTTTTTAAATCAATCAACTAAATCAATCAACTGAATCAATGAAAGAATAATCGGTCTTTCTGAATTCTGATATATTTTTGAAATATACAAGTTCGTGACATTTATATGAATCTGGTCAGACTGAATAAATGTGGCATAACATTCAAAAACAAAGCTCTCTCAGTGTGTCAGGAAAAGAACATTACGACTATATTTACAAAAAGGGTATTACTAGCTGTGGTAGTTTCTTTCATCTGAGATATGTTAGTCAGAAAGAAATTGTTTACTTTTAGCGCCTCTCAAGAAATATGTTAATTAGCTATAAACTAGAAGTTACTATCGCAAGGAAAGTGCTGCCTCATCCCCGAAGGGATCAAAGGCAGCATGCACAATTTTCTGAATAAGGGGCTGTTTATATGATCCCGCTTTGCCAGGACAAGCTATGAGGCAGATAAATTCGATGTATTGAAAGAAGTCATGGTGCACGATTCAACAAAAACTTCATTATTTTCTAGAGATAGTTTGTAAACGAAAGTATATTTTGTGTTTAATATATAGACCACAGTAAGACTTACTTTAATCCTTACTAACTGAAGATGGAGTAAATCTCTGAAACGTCGTTTGTTAATAATGTAATACGCACATTTAAAAAAGTCTTACTCTGGTCTATATATTGAACACAAAATATACTATTAACATGAGGCTTATGGAAAGTTCGTTCCTAAACATTTTGTAAACGAAAGGTTTTTTCAACCACCAATAATAATCTTCTTGAACACAAGATCTTCTCTACAACATTTGAGTTCTGTTAACCAGCATTTAAACTTTTGTTTATCCCAGTGACTTATTTCAATACAACAAAATCATCCCACCTTCCATTATGTAAACGGCCCCTAAGGCACCTAGGTGTTCAGGGGGTAGGAATTCTAATTTTTTGGCATGGGCGATTTTGTATGAATACCTTCAATGCTTATAACTTCCTGCTTTTGTATGTATAATTATAATACTGTCAGTGGTGAAGCTAGCCATAGCAACAGGTCATGCTATGCAAGTTTTTAATGATTTGTTTCATTCAAATAGATGCATGTCTATCAGCATAGGCATAGCATGACCAGTTGCAATGACTAGCTCACCACTAACCAGAGATCAGGCTCTATTTTACAAATATAGCCAGACACAAACATTAATGCAATAACTTTCCACCCACATGCAGCAAAGTTTATATTTAGTATCAAATCAAAATGTCGCAGGAGAAATTTAAATTTCACACAACGACAACAACAATCTAATTATAGTTGTGCTCACTATAAAATATATCATCAACAATAGTATAATCTAATTAGCACCAACCAATCAAATGACAGATTAAAAAATTTGGTCTCATAGACCAATCAGATTTACAACCAAAATATGGTTGTAAGGCATGTTAAGGTTTGTATCAGGCCTATTTATTTATTTATAGGCCTGATTGCATGCAGGTTAGATCACCACTGAATACTGTACAATATCATATATTTATATATATACATACATAAACAATAATAATACTTGAATGAATCATTGGACATGTAGAATTAATTTAATAACAATTTCATGTATAGATACAATACAAAACTACCCCTATCGCAGAACTACTGACATTTTTGTTTAATTTAATACACCAGCTTCAGATTGACACCATTCATTTGTAATGATTAAGATTGTACTAAGTCAGAACTTCAAAACTATATAATAAGAAAGATATTGTGAGCATTATTGAAAAAATATAGTATACCCTAAAATGTAGTAACACAGCCAGGTGAATATATGAATGTGTAGGCCAGTAGGATTATTTCATATTATGCTGACAATGGACCTATCTCAGAGCACAGAGATATATTTTTACAGATTGTCATACCTTGTACAAAAGTCGGTTGACATGCTATTACATGTAACAGCTGGTAAACTAATATTTCCAGACAACCATGGGCGGATTTACTGGGGGGTTTAGGTATGGTTAACTTCCCCCTTTAATCTCTCTAACCCCGAGGTCTTATAAAGTGTTCTACCCCGCCAAAATTTCGCTTCACCCCTCCTTTCGCTTCACCCCTCCTTCAACCCCTGCCAAAGCTCTACTAGAAATTATCCACCCCTCCTTTTGAAAAAATGAAAATACGCCCTTGCAGACAACAACCCACACTGGATTGCTACATCATTCCAAGTTTGTGTTTACACGTGCTCGAAAGCACACTGCTATAAACATGTACACGGCTAAAAACGCACAGGTTGTTGCAAGTTGATATCGACAGGCGTGAACAATGTTGTGCGGCCAACTATGAACAAGTTGTCAACCATGTTGTTCCAAGTTGTTACAGTTGAACAATGCTGCAACAACATGTTGACAATACTGTTCACAGTGGGCCGCACAACATTGTTCACACCTGTCGATATCAACTTGCAACAAGTTGTTGATTTTCTCAATTTTTACGCGTGTAGAATGAACACTATAAACTCATCGCCTTGTGTCATCACCACACAAACAAATAAACTAATAAATCATGATAAATTCATGCTGATAGTTCATGAAATCAAAGTGTTCTAAATATAAATGCCTTCAGCTTCATGTATATTTATCGAAGTGTCTATACTGTCAGACTATACTGAGCCGGTTGAAAATATTGGCGATGTTTTGCATGATGAAAATGTAAATCATATAGTGTTACGTACTAAATTAAATATAAATGCATTCGAATTCATGTATATATTACCGGTACCAGAAAGAAATAAAGCTATCCTTACCTGAATTATTGAAAATATTGGCCATGTTCTGCATCATGAAAGTGTAAATAAGCTAGCTTTATGTACAACACAAAATAAAGTTTGACCGCCCCCCTTGTTTAAAAAACTTCCTGAAGCCTTAATTATTTCCCCGGAATTACGACAAACATCCGACAGACAGACACAAAATCGAGATCTCGACAATACATAACTCGGGCAAAGAGACTGGGCACAAGTAAACGCGATACTTCATGTTAAGAATAGTGTGCTGCCTTCGGCAGCAATTATGCAAAAATCATTGATTATGGGCTCCAGAAAATCTTAACTCGCGCCAAATACAGATTGATACCCGCAGGTTTTTCTTCAGATCTTCTGAAAATAAGTATAAATCATTACAGCCAAACACATTTCAGCGTAATTTTAGGTCCCCATTTGGAGATCTCAGGCTTCGATTTTAGTGTAATTTTGTAGACCGAACAAGAAGCAAAAACCGGTGTGCCGTCCAGTTGCTGTCATTTATTCACGATTTATTCAAATGCTCTTATTTTTTGGAACAGGGAACCTGAATTGTATCTTAACTTGTTGATCTAGTTGAAATTTGGAAATAGTCAGGCGTTTTGATTCAGCGCGGCTCTACAATTTACCAAAATTCAACCTTCGATTTTGCTTGAAAATAGCTCTGCACGGGTAAAATGAGTTTCGGCGTCTAGCGAAGCCATAAAAAAGAATTTTCAAAAAATAAATTTATTTTGGACACTTGTATAGCAATGCCTTTCAACACACAAAAAATAAAGGAAATCTATTTTCCGAAGTCAAAGTCATCGGACCGTTCTTAGGGACCGTTCATTATTTATACCTGGGGTTGGTACCGAAGAGAAGAGAAAAACACTGTCCATTTTTTATTTACCCAACCTCAACAATGGTCAAAATAATGTTTACCCAACCCATGTGTTACTATACTTCATAATAATTAAACAAACAAGATTATGGTGACAGAAATCAAGTTGCCTATATTCTAAAAGCTCAGTCACACTCAAGCTCACCGGCTGAGTGTGCCAAAGCAATCACGTTCCTGCTGATCAATGATAGAGTCCTCCCTCAATCACTGATGGTCTATTTTGGTACAGAATGTATTGTACACATTTTTCTTCATATTTTCCAATGCATGGTAATTTTGGTCTTATTCTATTTTATTTTATAGCTGACAGACAGCCATAAATTTTTTTACCCAACCCATGAGCTAGTCAAAAACTTGATTGCCCAACCCAAATCTCTTCGGTACCAACCCCTGGTATAAATAATGAACGGTCCCTTAGCGGGACTGCCACTTAAAACCATAGTCGGAGGAAACAACGTTGATGTACTTGAACTCAGTGGATATACATCCTATGTTGTTGTTCGCAATGGGCGTGGTAAAATTGGAGAATATGATTTAAATTATTGTAAAATTCAGCTTTGTCAGTTTGGGACTGGCCCTTGCATGTGCTTTTTGAAAATAGCAATTCTACTTCATGTATGTTCAACGCAGTGTCTTGTTCCGGCTACACTTACGAGTATTTTGGCAGTTTTCATTATTCTGTTGATTATTGTGTTAAAAGAGTGCATCGTTGTATACAGAATGAAAATTCTACGACGCAGCTTTGGTTTAGCACGCGTAAGATGACATAACACAACCGACACCTGGAGAGACTCGAAGGGGCCGTTCAGACTGGCGACTTAAATCGATCCGAAGTCAATTCAGGGCCGTATCGGACCAAGCGTGGACAAGCAAGAACGAGCTGAGACGATTCGACATCAATCTGAACTACATCACTTCCAGAGGTTGTTAATTATTCGTTCAAGTTTTTGTGCAAGTCCGCAAGTCGACACTCATATATACCGGTCTCATATAGTATTATTATTATTATTATTATTATTATTATTATTATTATTATTATTATTATTATTATTCATGTTTAAGAATATTCACCATCGCCTAAATTTGAATTGCGGTGAATTTACAACTAAGTATTTAATTACTATATTAACAATAATAAGGATTAAAGAGTTAAAATATATTAAAACGTTACTTTGTACTTATATAAAATCTGTATTTAAATGTTGCTACTGTCATTAAAAATAGCCACAGTCAAAGAAGTTGCGGCGGTACCGTTCTGTTCTCTAAGTGTCGATCTCTAAGTGTGGATCCTTTCTCTCGCTGGAAAAAAGTCTCTCGCTGGATGTTTTCCCGTGAAAACATTCAGGAATGCGACCACGTTCCTAACGTTATGAAAGCGATATGTAGGAGTGGCGACGTCTGATTGCATGGTCCGCGAGAAATATATAGAGAAACTAAACATAGTTTCACATTTTAACAATAATAGCCTATACACGTAGGAATGTAGTCGCATTCTTGAATGTTTTGACACGAAAACATAACACACTGTAAATTAGTAGACCATTTCCGAATTACACTTTAGGATCAGTAGAACATCAACAAGTCGATGCCAGTTCTAATTTGCTGTTGGAATGTTACAATTAGAACGAAGCCTTATTCTCAGGCCATTGTTTATGGGCATGTGCTATAAAACCTGGACGATGGACGATGCCGATAGACGATGGAAATTTTTATTTACAGTCAAAACACTAAAATCCGCACACTCCCACTCTTGTACTTTGTTGTCATTTATTGTATATTTTGTTGTGTATTAATAATAATGCTAATATTGCATTACTTGTAACAAAGAATAGCTTTTCCATAAGATTCACTGCATAATAGCAATATAAAAACTTTCAACAGGCCGCGATAAAATGCAATGTTTAAAATTGTAACGTTGATTAATTAAAGTAATTTGTATAATTTCTATTTAAAGAACTGTCAATCAAATTAAAGTAAGTAAGGTATGGTAAGGTGTATGGTAAGGTCACTAGTATAAGGCCAGGTTTATTTGTGGGTTAGGGTAAAACGCGGATGTGGACGGATGTTCCCGTAGTTGGGAACTGTTAATACTCAAAGTTACACGATTGTCTACTTCACTTTCACACGTGACGCATCAAAGTGAGCACAGCTACCGTACGAATCTCCGTGTGAACAGTGGAACCGGTAAGGTTCCGAATTCGTTCGTTTTGTAAGGTTCCGAATTCGTTCATTCTAGCTCATGCGAACGCTTAAAGTCTTTACAATTTTTAAAAATGTATATATATGAAGAATTTTAAAGTTAAGTTGTATATATACTTAAGACAAGTTCACACTTTCAATTTTTGCTGCAAGTATTTAGGCGCGATTTTCTGTTGATGGTTGTGAACGAGTGGATGAGTGTTCATAATTCATCTTCTCGTTCACACGCATTAGAAGAAGAAAATCGTAGAAATCGAAATAGAAGAAGTAGTAAAGAGGAAGAAGTATAGAAGCCTTTTGGCTCACTTAGATTCGGCGCATGATAAGCGCAAGGTTATTACTGCAGGCCTTAATCAATCATATTGTACTAAATTGTAGTACTAAACAGCACCTATATCTTGTCAAGCAAGCTTAGCAGTTTCACAGCCTTGTCAATTTTGTAAATATTGTTTCTGATGTTTGTGGTGTTACTCTGATCAGTGTGCATCCACATCGGGCAAGCTGAAAAGTTCGCTTGGCCACGGTGGGAATCGAACCCACGACCTTTGGGATACTAGTCCAATGCTCTGTCAACTGAGCTACGCGGTCAAGTCGGTTCGAGTTGGTCGCGGGTTCGACTCCCACCGTGGCCAAGCAAACTTTTCAGCTTGCCCGGTGTGGATGTACACTCAGAGTAACATCACAAACATCATATTCACCTGAGTACATACATAACACCAACACATGCACATGCACAAATATAATATTGTTTCTGTTTGTAACATATATGTAACGTAATTTTAGCATATATAATAAACCTAGATATAAACATATTCAATTACTATAAAGACACTAAGACCCTCGTCTTAACAGAGTTTCCAATTGATAACAATGGTCAATGCTTTCTAAACGAGCCGTTTTAAAAGCAAATTATATACAAAGAACAGAAAATAAATTAGTACATATACTTAAACTCGTAGACACATTGAATACAGTAACTAGTGCATTTCCAAAAGCATACTCTGTTAAATTGTTGGAATGTAGTATAATAAAAAGATTTTTTTTTCAATTTCAGAAGATTACGACGGTATTTATAAGACAGAACAAACTCCGAATATTCAATACTAACATCTTATTAACTCCAGATTTGAGCTATTGAAACAAGCCAACAAAATTCAAGATAAGTAACTTTTCAAGTCATTTCATGCATCCAATTAAGTGTGGGAAAACATTTTATTGAAAACAGTTCTGTTGGCTTGTAATTCTTACGGCGATTAAGAAATGCAAGTTTGAATAATAGCTATCATTTCATAATATCAAATCAGTCGGTTCCATGCAAATTTAATTTGAGTTTGTAGTAATTGGACATGACCTGTAACTCTTTAATCAAATATAAATATATACAATATAAAAGTACTTAAAATGCTCAATTTCACAATTTTTCATGCAATGTTTGATTTCAAAAAATTAGCCGCTTAGTTATAGACTTCAAACTCCTGAAATACAGTATTACTTTGGGATGGTTTATGTGAAATACTATAGCCTTCGTTGGCGAATTACTGCGTGCTCTTTGAATTTCTTATTAAAAATAGTTTGATGCGAAAACAGCTAGCGCTTCTGCCGTTATTTCAACGGCGTTGAAGTTAATCAGTCATTCACATTTCATTTGCATGGTACTGATTGGCTGGATCAATTGAAACCTCAAACGTTCGCATCCCCGCGCGGGCCTCCCGCAAAGATACTCAGTTGCATGACACAAGCCTAAATGTCTCCCTTCATTAATACGCTTTTTACCGGGTTTAAAGTATGGCAAGAATTATTTCCGAGAAAACGTCGCTTTTAGACTTTTAGGAAGGATGGCAATAATAAAACAGCGCGGTTATTTTGTTGAGTTTAAATACAATTCTTGCTGAAGGAAAATGTCGTCAGGATTTTTGAGGTAGACTGTTAAAATAATTTTTTAGTGTCCTGCCCTTTTTTTTTTTTTTTTCCTACCTCAAACCCAGGCGCTGTATTGCGTGTGGACGCATATATATTTGCATGTGTTTTTCCCGAGAGTTTCAATATTTCCCGCGATTCTGATGAAGAAAAAAAACCCCGGCAAAACAAATTATATTTCATTAATTAATAAAACATTGAAAATAAAAGAACCTGCTAAATGAAGTGGGCAACAATTTTTAATTTCTTGACAGGCGGGATACATTGCATTGATCTAAATCCACGTGACAACAAATCAGCCAATCATATTTAGTTTAAGCACAGCTATATATAACAGACTTGCATAACCTCATTAAGTACCATGACATTGGTTACTTGTGAAAACTGCGTGGAGCAAAGACGAAAATATCAAGTTGAGGCAAGAATTATTTCGAAGGAAAATGTCACAAAGACTTTTGAGGTAGGATGTCAATCATCGGTCCATGAAATTGAGTCAAGGTTATTAAATTTTATATATGAGTGGACGAGCGCATGAAATTTTGGGGTCGTGCTTATATACATGAGTATATAATCACCGCGGTAATATATATAAGTGCTAAACCTGCCTGTATAGGCTACATTGCATATGCATTTGCTATGCCTACTTTTTATTGGCAAGAGCTTTCACTTTTCGAAATTTTAAAGTTACATAACCTGAGTCAGACTAACTCTATCGGGAAATCGATGGTACAGTCGTCGGAGCTAATCGCCATGCAGGGCGAGCGCCTTATTTCACCTCTGAGATCGTGGGTTCGATTCTCGTTGTGGACTCAAAACATTCGCGTAAAAAGAGTCCGTAAACGCTTTACCGAAAGTCGTCGGGGTTTTCTCCGGGTATGACAGGATGCGATGGGATTAGCCCAGACATGAGTGCCAGAGGCCGGCCTAACGTTAATTGTTTATATCGTTGCTACCCAATTCACAACTTTAGATAACGCACGTGCATGCATAGTTGTTGCATGTTGTTCTAGTTTACAGAAGCATATACAGCTAATTCAAAAAAGGTTGTCCTTGGCAAACCTACTCTAAACCTTAAACCTTAAACTCTAAGCGTGCAAAGCTTAATGGGAGCACGAGTTTCAAGTTTAGTAGTTGAATATTGCCGCTATTTGTGAATGAATTATTCTCGTAAGGAGATATTTACCATGTCTCTAAGAAATGGGCCCCATGTATGATTTTAAATGAAACTGATTAAATGATGCTCCCATTATGCTTTGCACGCTTAGACTGTAAGGTCAGTTAAGGTTTGGAAGAGTTTAAGGTTTGCAAAGGACAACCTTTTCTGAATTAGCTGTATAGAATAAAATAAATTAAGGTAGCTAAGCATTACAGTTACTGTATATGTATACTTATTCACTAATGTAGATAATTCTAATGCTTATATACCTTTGCTCTATTCTATGCTTCTGTAAACTAGAACTATAGTAAATAGGCATGTGAATTATCTATATAAGTTTTGAATTGGGTATAGTATAAATAGCTAATTTGTCCATGCATTTATAGTAACTTATAGTGGGTAGCTTTATTTTTTAGCAGAGTGGTATATATTAAAAAGGGCACATCCAGTATTAAACATTGAATTTGCCTATTGTTCCGTAAACATTTTCCACGACCTTTGCATAAATAACGATAAAATGATTGATAAAGATCGAAAATAACAAAAATGTATTCTTCTTTAAGACTAAGTGCTAGTGTATAGGCGGTAAAAAGTGATCCGAAAACGCTAGTGTGGACGCATATATTTGTATATGCGTTTTTGAAATATAAAAATGTCTGCTCCATAAGAGGAAAATAATTAGTTTGTTTTCCCGAGAGTTTCAATATTTCCCGCGATCCTGATGAAGAAAAAAAAGTAAACAAATTATATTTCATTAATTAATAAAACGTTGAAAATAAAAGAACCTGCTAAATGAAGTGGGCAACAATTTTTAATTTGTTTACCGGCGGGATACATTGCATTGATCTAAATCCACGTGACAACAAATCAGCCAATCATATTTAGTTTAAGCACAGCTATATTAACAGCTTGCATAACCATGACATTAATTATTGTGAAAACTGTATGGAGCAAAGGCAACGACGCTTTTTACTAAGTTTAAAATATCAAGTTTAAGCAAGAATTATTTCGAAGGAAAATGTCACGAAGACTTTTAGGTAGGATGTCGATCGGCCCATGAAATTGAGTCAAAATTTTAAACGAGTGTACGAGCGCATAAAATTAATTAATAAAAACAAAAATTCATTAATTTTTTAGCGATTCCCAGCAAGCCTTTCCGCTTTGCTCGGGGCAACCTTAATTGAAATAGTTCTATACAGGGTGTATAAAAAAAAACGCACCTCGTAATTTCCTAAGAAATCACTTTGCCATTCTTAAGCATAAAAGATTTTAGGCCCCCGGGAATTGAAATCTAATTGCTAATAGATCATATTACTGTTGTTGTTCATTAAATAAATGCATAAATTTTGCTTTATGCACTCGCGTGTGCATGCAGTAATTTTGACAGTTATGCTATTTTAAATTCCCAGGCGCCTAAAATCTTTTGTCTCTAAAACAATGTCGATTTCTTGTGAAATTCCGAGGTTGCTATTTAAAGCACGCGTAGGAGTGTTTTATCACATATAAAATACGATGCGTAGCGGAGTGTTTTATATGTGATAAAACACGACTACAAGTGCTTTAAATGGCTTAAAAAACGACTCATCTTATACGAGTTCATTGGCGAAGTAATAAAATAAACTTTGTCTAAACCGAGAAAACCAAAGCTAAAGTTTATGTAAATTAACGTGATTTTTTATCATATATAAAATCACGACACGCTTATGATTTTTCTTTGTGTTTTGCTCCTGAATTATCAATTAATGAGTTTTTTAAGTATACTGTTTAATAAACGAGCATGCAGGAGTGTTTTATTAGGTTTAAAGCCTCGAGCGCGCAGCGCGAGTGGCTTTAGACCTAATAAAACACGACCTGCGAGTTTATTAAACGACTTCAAACACGACTACAAATTCAATAGATATACTGCCTTGTTAGTATTCTTTATATAAAGAATACTAATTAGGAGTGTTTTATCAGGTTTAAAGCCACTGCACGTGAGATATTATGGTTGACATGATTTGCCAATAAGCTTATGAATTATTAATGAGTGTTTGAATGTTATATAACCCGGTGGCGCAATCGTCGGAGCCAATCGTCAAGGCAAGCGCCTTTCACCTCTGAGATCGTGGGTTCAATTCTCGTTGCGGACTCAAAACATTCTCGTAAAAAGAGTCCGTTAACGCTTTACAGAAAATCGTCGGGGTTTTCTCGGCCATCCGGTTTCTACCTATATACACAGGGAATGTTGACAGGCCGGTGGGTTGCATGGCAATTAGCCCAGACAAGTGGCTGCCAGAGGCCGGCTTAACGTTATTGTTTATATTTTAGATAACTCGCTGCTTATAGTTATTATTGTTCTAGTTTACGGAAGCATACAGTAAAATAAAATAAATTACACAGGGTGTATAAAAAAACGCAACTTCGGAATTTCCTAAGAAATCCACTTTACAATTCTTTAGCATAAAAGATTTTAGGCCCCTGGGAATTGAAATCGAATTGCTAATAGAGCATATATATTGGCCTACATCTGACAAGGCCCTTGATAATTTAACTGTTGTTGTACTAGCTGTACTTGTAAAATTAAAACTTATTAAGTGTCATTAAAAATAAATGCATAAATTTTGCTTTATGCATTCGTGTGTGCAGTAATTTTGACAGTTGTGCTATTTTAAATTCCCAGGCACCTAAAATCTTTGTCCTTAAAACAATGTCGATTTCTTGAGAAATTTCGAGGTTGCGTTATTTTTATACACCCTGCATGCAAGGTAACCTAGTAACCAATTAGAATTGTGTACAAGGGTATACACCCATGTAGATAATTCTAATGCTTAGTTGCCTTTGGTCTATTATTCTATGCTTCTGTAAAGAATGATAAAGTAAGTTTTGAATTTGGTATAAATAAGCGTTAGCCAAATTTGTCTATTTATATAGTGGATAGCTTCATTTTTCGCAGAGTGGTTTACTAATATAAGCGCATATCCAGTAAATTTATCTGTCAGCTGAGAAATAAGTAGCCATCTCTATATAACCTAACCTGTACACGTTTCTATCTTATAGTCTAGCCGCCATCATTTTGGCAACACTGCCTTACAGGAACGCATCAATGTTCCACAGTCAACCACAATTCACCATAAAAGTAGAGAAAAACAAAGAATTTGACAAATCATGTGTCATTGATACGTTCAACATTGGAAGTGGAAACATAGCAGATTGTCTGGAACATTGTTTGGAGAACTGTCGGTGTCAGTCGTTTCAAATTTGTCAAAATACAAAATGTCAACTGTGTTCAAGTCACAAGAAAGAGAACAGTTCATTGCTTCATGACAAAGATGGCTGCGTCTATGCTATGTACGAGATGCGACATTTGACAGAAACGTTTCAGGTGATGCATGCATGTAACTATGTCAATTTGAAGAGTGTCAAAGTGGAAAATCACATTTCTCATATTTTCTAGAGATATTTCAATGTGCTTTCTTTGTCATGCATGCATACATCCCGAATTTTGGTATTAATATATCCACGAAATACGTGCGATCATATTACATTTTATTTTCTTAGAAATTGGAAGGGCAATCTTCATGCATGAGTTGTTCAATGAAGTACAATTGTTGTCAACAATCGGGTATCTGTCGCGAGAACAAAATTTGTAAACCAGTCAACTCCCAAGAACAGCCCTGGAAACGTTTTACCTGCGAATGTCCGGATGGTTACCATGGAGAAAACTGTGACCAACCAATCACGTCATGCCAAGGATATGCCAAAGGTTCCAGGAAATCGGGCATGTACAAAGTGGTGGATTCTATCGGAGGCCCATTGTATGAAGTTTTCTGCCATTTTGATTCTGATAGTGCTTGGAGTTTGGTGCAGTCTTACAGTTTTGCAAATAGATCTCTTGATCAGTTCAAGAAATCTTTGTCTAACAACCGTCCTATCAGTGAAAATGCTCTGACATGGAGCGGCTATCGACTTGGCAAAGCAAGAATGGAATCTATCAAAAATAATTCAAGTTTTCTTCAGTTCACCTGTGACTATGAGAAACACATTGATTTAAACCAGTCCGACTTCGTTCAACTTGAGCTTCAAAATCTTAAAACCACACTTGGAGGAAACAACGTTGACGTACTTGAACTCAGTGGGTGTACATCCTATGTTCTTGTTCGCAATGGGCGTGGTAAAATTGGAGAATATGATTTAAATTATTGTAAAATTAAGCTTTGTCAGTTTCCGGACTGGCCCTTGCATGTGGTTTTTGAAAATAGCGATCCTCCGTCATGTATGTTCAACGCAGTGTCTTGTTCCGGCTACACTTACGAGTATTTTGGAAGCTTTCATTATTCTATTGATTATTGTGTTAAAAGAGTGCATCGTTGTATACAGAATGGAAATTCTACGACGCAGCTTTGGTTTAGCACGCGTAAGATGACATAACACACCTAGAAAGACTTCGAAGACTGCATGGCGATTTAAATTGATCCGAAGTCAATTCAGGGCCGTATCGGGCCAAGCGTGAACAAGCGAAAACGAGCTGAGACAATTCGACATCAATCTAAACTAGATCACCTCCATAGGTTGTTAATTCGTTCAAGTTCTTGTGCAAGTCAGCTAGTCGACACTGCACAAGAAGCCCAAAGATCTAGAAGCGGCCTTATATCGATTTGAGATCGATCTCTAAGTGTGGATCCTTCCTCTCGCTAGAAAAAAGTGCCATGGTTTCGCATCAAAACTGTAAATTAATAGACCGTTTCCTAATTTTACGCTTTACTTGTAAAGAACATTGTAAACACCAAATCGAGGTCAGTTTTAATTTACTGTAAATAGGAACGTTACAATTAGGACGAAGCCTTGTTCTCAGGCCATTGTTTATGGGTATTTCACCGTAATTTGGAAAAAGCCTAATTGCATTGCCTTCTATTGCACGATTTAGAAATACGAATTGGTATATAATAAAGTCAACTGTGCCTGTATAAAATGTTATCTAGCTTTGGCCCGTTCTCATGCAAGGTGAGCACATGCAGCTACCGTACGAATTTCCGTGTGACAATGGTACGTACTGGACGAATTTTCTTACTGCGCTTTCCGGTTGAGTTTGGATTGGCTAATGTTTTGAAAACAATGTTTGTGACGTCATTCGATATTGTTGTTAATGCGCCGTTGTGATGTTTTCCGAAGGGCAATCCCGACAACCGTTCGAATTATTGTTTTGTTTTCGAACAATGATTCAACGTCAACCAATCGATCTGTAATATGGAGTCATCTTGCATTCAAATTATTCTCGATTTCACTAAAATGTTCCGAACTTTGTTCCGAACTTCGCAATTCACAAGCAGGTTTGTAAACAAAGCCTCTGATTGGCTCTAAATCAACCCATGCAGCCAATCAAATGCTCAGTTTAGAAACCGATTTGTAAATTTCATGAGCTTGTGAACTTTTCAACGAATTTGTGAAGTTCGGAACATTTTAGTAAAAAGTAATCCCGGAGTAAAAAAGTAATCCAACAATATCGAATGACGTCACAAACATTGTTTTCAAAATGTTAACGGCAAAACATTAGCCGATCCAAACTCAACCGGGAAGTGCAGCAAGCTTAGCCGAATTCGTCCACTCCAGACTCTTATGACCGTATAGGTTTAGAACCTTTTGCATATGTATCAACCTCTGAACAATTATTGAAATTGTATCAAACTGCATGCCAAATTTTCATGTGCCGGATTCATTAGCCTGAGTATCAGGCCATATTATGCCTTCCTTAAATGCGGGTGGATAACGTGGATTGAAGGGAAAAGAGGGCCTGACACAAGGCCACACGTAAAAAGCCATACAAAATCCGACTTTTCACCCAATTGGTCTATCGATCAGACAAAAATGATTGGTTAGTGGTATAATTAGATTATATATACTATTGAGTATTGCAAGTTCATGATATATTTAGTTGTTTTAATAACTATAATTTATATATAGATTGTTGTTATTGTGTAAAATTGACATTTTTCCTGGGACATTTGGATTGCACACTAGTGACACTACATATATTAAACTTTACTGTGGGTGGAGAACGATCGGATTAAGGTTTCTTTAATTTGTGATAGGGCCTGATATTCAGGCCACGGACTCAATGCAAATGAGCTCAAACATTTACATCAGATTCGGCACGTGATAATCCAATGAGCGTTTGATCATTTTGTGAAAATGACATTCAGTGGTATAAACAGCACACGTATATAGAGCGAAACAAGTTTAACAGTTAACAGCCTTCTTTTGTAATTTATTGTAAATGTTTTTTTTCTTCTGTAAATAATGTGCAGTTAATAAGCTGTTCTTCCCTGAAATTTTTTGCCATGCATGTTATGAGTTCATAAATTTTTGAATGAGAAAATTTCACCTGCTCTTTAGCTCTTACATGAAATTTTACATGGGATTTTAACATTTTTATAAATTTTTTTGGCTGTGAAATATGTGAAAGTATAATCTGTTTGGATTTCAAAGTTTTTTCGGCACAATCAATGGCTTCACAATCAATGGCTTGAGAACAACATTTTCGGCCCAAAAATACTTACTTTCGTGCATCAAAAAAACATCGGATCGAGGGCTTTTGCAAAATAAATATTTAATTCTAACTCGATCGTCAGTCATATAGTGATCGACTGAGAAAAAATAAATGGAATATATATCATTTCCAAACTTTTAATTAATGCGTGCATTTTTAACAACATGCAGCAGTTATAATACTGACTGACATCAAACAGGTTTTAAAAATAATATTTAATTTCTATTCATTAACCTGCATAATTGAGTAATTTGTTAACCTCTCTATAATAATCATATATCTATGCACTATACTGTATATTATAAAACTGGCTTTATCAAGGATGAATGCCCATTGTAGCCTGTTTCTTTGTTTTGCTTGTGTGAAAGTGCAGCTCAAAAACTAGTGACTTGTATTTAACAAATATGCTGTTTCAAACGTCGCGCTTCTCATGTGCCGATTGCATTAGAAACAATAGATGAGGCATTTCAGCTGATCTATATTGTTTTTAGTGCGTTCGGCACATGAGAGGCACGACGTTTGAAACAGGCCTAAGTATATTGAATGCATTCCTTTCTTTATTTAAGTTGTTTATTTGAAAGTTATTTATCCTGGTAAAGAACCTACAAATTTAATTTCATATTCAGCCGTCATCATTTTGGCAACACCACCCGGCGCAATTTGACATATAATTATATATGACCTCCAGAACAAATATTCAGTGACGACTCTTAATTATCCGACCAAAACTGAAAGTTATTACTTGCATGTATACGTGCGATACAGCTGGAGCAAGGAAAACGTTTCAAGGACGCTCTTTTACGGAGTTTAAAATATTTATGATGTTTAGGCAGGAATCATTTTGGACAACAATCTTCCAAAGACTTTTGAGGTAGGCAGTAAATCATTTTACAATAAGAATGTTTCGGAAGCAAAATGTTTCTCAAAAATTGGATGCATGTATGTCCTTGCTCTCAACGTGTATATTATAGTGACCAATATTATGCTGTTTAAAATAATGATTGATTGACACCTTTATTTAAACAGGGTAGTCCAATCAGTAGTAAAAACTACTGCTATCAACTGGAGTCCTGCTATTTAACAAAAATACAATCTTTACATGCTATATGACAATTACTGAATTAGGTATTAAAACAATATACTATATATATACTAGAGAATAAAACTATTTTCGCTTATTATTATATACAACACAACCGTTGTAATAAAAGGATTTCTTTGCCTGTTCAGTTCGTACTCGAGGCAAGTGCAGTTTATGACTCTGGCCTAGTCACTCTACTGTGTACCGAGCTGTTAAAAGTAAAATATTTTTTAAAAAGTTGCGGACAACGGCCTTGAATACATTTATTGACTAATTTAAAAATGTTGTCGTCTCGCCTACTCTGCAGAAAAGGCCACTTCAACATGTTCATTGCTTTGTCGCTGTCAGGTATTCTGGACACAATCCTAGCAGCACGCCGTTGAAGCTTTTCCAGACTTGAGGCATTACCAACACCGCAGCGATCCCATACTGTATCACAATATTCAAGAATAGGGCGAATGAATGATACATAGACAATATTCGCACAGTGAGGTGTTAAATCATTTCTGATACGTCCTAACATGCCCAGTCTCTTCCCAGCTCTGGATAGGATATATTTGCTATGCGATTTCCACGTAATACACTCGTCGAACACGACTCCAAGGTATTTGAATTCGTATACACACGCTTTATAAGACGACCATTCATGAAAATAGCAAACTCATCAACACGAGATAACCTTGCATGAGTTCCAAATAACATATATAGATTCGGTTTTCGAGGTGTTAACAAATAGACCATTATCAAGTAGCCAGGTTCCGATGATGTAAAAGGTCCAGGATTTAAACTAACATCACCCGCTAGCAGTACCAGATATCCAGCACACATAGACAACTTTATCAAATTAATTCCACTCACAGCCTTCTGATAAGAGGACACGCTGGCCATAGTTGAACTTCTAGTCAATCCCGAGTTACGGCTTGGATATATGAACGTATATCTGCTTTAGAGACTACTATAATGGACGTAATATCTTTAGCCGTACCGTCATATGCTTTCGGAAATAAAACATACGAGAAGAACAACAATATTACCAAAAAGTACGAGAGCTCAAACATGCTGCCACCGGCCGCCATTTTGCAGTTGCCAATTCACCCAATGGCAATGCCTAATGGGCCATTTTTTAACAATCTTAACGTCAAAATTCATCCCTTGCTTATACTAATAATTTGATGTGTAAGTATCGGGAACCTAGTCCGCCGGATTGCATTTGGGGGGGGGGGGACCTGCACAGAATATGTTCATTAAATTAACTAAGAAAAAACATGTCACATTATGCATGTGAACTGAAATAAGTATAGAGAAATACGTAAAGCTTGACCTACCTTTTGAAATATCAAGGTGCCACTATATACAGTCTGCTTCATCCGATGAAGGGATAATCGCGTGTGGCTGAGAAATTTCGAAAAGTACGCTGCTTTAAAATGGTTGTGGTCGAAACGTGGGAGGCGGCCGTTGAAACATTGCAGCGGGTCCTTTCTTTATTTAAGTCTATTTGAAATTTGGTTTTGTGCATCATGTTCTTAATATGTGTGCTTTTCACTTTCGTTCATTAGTGTGGCCGTTGGTTTTGTGAAATCCTGTCATTTTATATACCTGCCCAAAATTATAACAGAACGGTCAATGGAACGTATATATAGCAGCCTAGAAGATAACCTATATACAAATTTATAATTTATTTCATATTGTCAGCCGCCATATTTTTAACAATACCACCGCAATTTGTCAGATATATATGCATGATCTCCCAAATAAATATCAAATCATTGTCGTCTAAATCCATTATTACTAAATTATCCGACCGAAACTGACAGTCGTTACTTGTGCATGTAATACAGCTGGAGCAAGGAAAACGTTTCAACAACGCTTTTTTACTGAATTTAAAATATCAGTTGTGATGTTTAGGCAAGAATTATTTTGAAGAGAAATTTTCCAAAGACGTTTTAGGTAGGGGGTCAATAATTTTACGAAGCAATAAACGTTTCACAAACATTGCATTTCTGCATGTCCTAGGCCTCAACGTTGAACTATAAAGTCTTGTTATAGTCACACGCTGAATGCCGTTGTTTACTACGTAATTGTTCAGTTATAGTCTGCTGGTTTAGTGTATACCTTAAAATATTATCTCTTAAATATAACCTGTATATGTTTACATTTTCAAAATACACTTTTCTTCTGTAGAAAGCACGCACTTCGCGCCGCAATTAAGTCTGTTCTTAGATTATTAAAATTGGTCTACCGTAGAGCCAAATTAATGTTATGCTTTTTAAAATAACATCTGCATGCATGGTTTATCCAATGGGCAATTGAAATCCTGCATCAATAGGTTTGATGACCTCCTTACTTCAAACCGCCATAACGTTGGTTCTAATGCCTTGATTAAACGACGGTGAAATTCTTCGTGAGAAATTGCGAAATCAGTGGATAGCTGCACATGAGCGATGCTATTGAATTGGCCACTTTATTCGCCTTCGCGGTGAGTATAACTGACTTCTACTCACTGGCGAAGCGAATTTTTTTTCGCGAAGTCTAATTTATCTTTATTGCGCATGTACGATTTCATTTCGTGCGAAATGTTTCGCATTTCGCCTCAAAAAACCGCTGCAATTTTAACTGAATCTTGATATTTAGATTCATCCCTTAATTCGACTTCATTTTCGATGCCTACAGATAAATCGATGTGTAGGTACAGTCCGGAACCTAGTTTTTGCATTAATTTTTTTTTGGGGGGGGGAGGGGGAGGCCCACTGTACAGAGTATGTTTATTAAATTAGCTAGAAGAAAAATACATGTCATATATATTATGTGAACTGAAATAAGTGGAGAAGTATTTAAAGCTTGCATGACCTACATGTTTTCACTTTATATAGTCTAGCCGCCATTATTTGGGCAACGCTACATGTATCTTACACCAACGCCTCAATGTTCAACAGTCAACCACAATTTACTATAAAAGCAGTGAATCACAAAGCATTTGACAATTCCTGTCTCATTGATGCGTTCAACATTTCAAGTGGAAACATAGCAGCTTGTTTGGAGCACTGTTTGGAAAACTGTCGGTGTCAGTCGTTTCAAATTTGTGAAAACACAAAATGTCAACTGTGTTCAAGTCACAAGAAAGAGAACAGTTCATTGCTTCATGACAAAGATGGCTGCATCTATGCTACGTACGAGATGCGACATTTGACAGAAACGTTTCAGGTAATGTATGTAACTATACGAATTTAAAAAGTAAAGTAAAATTTACATGTGTCATAGTTTTGAAATATTTCAATGTGTTTCCTGTGTAAATATTATGCATATATATCCAATATTTTGTTATTAATATTCACGATTGTAACCATATTACATTTTATCTTCTAAGCGACTGGACGAGCAGTGTTTGGCAGGCATAAGTTGTCCAATGAAGTACAACTGTTGTCAACAATCAGGTCTCTGTCCCGAGAACAAAACATGTAAACCAATCAACTCCCAAGAACAGCCCTGGAAACGTTTTACCTGCGAATGCCCAGAAGGTTACCATGGAAACAACTGTGACGAGCCAATCACGTCATGTGGCGGGTATTTAGATGGTCCTCGGAAATCGGGCATGCACAAAGTAATGGATTCTGAAAAGTCAGTGTACGAAGTATACTGTCATTTTGAATCTGATGTAGCTTGGACTCTGGTACAGTCTTACAGTTTTGCAAATGGTTCTTACCGCAGCAAATTTAAACAATTCCGAAAATCATTAGCTAAAAGTCACCCTGTCAGTGAAAATGCTCTAACATGGAGCGGCTATAGACTTAGCAAACGAAGAATGGAATCTATAAAAAATAATTCAACTTTCCTGCAATTCACATGTGATTATGAGAAATACCGTTCTATAAACAAATCTGACTACGTCCAAATTCAACTTCGAAATATTAAAACCCGGTCGGGAGATGAAAACGTTGATGTTCTTGAACTCAATCAGTATACAACCTATGTTACTATAGGCAATGGACGTGGCAAAATTGGAAAATATGATTTAAGTGGTTGTCGTATTGAGCGGCTTCATCAGCAAACAAATTTTAGCGTGCCCTTGCATGTCGATATTTACCGTGTACGTCCTACCTGTAAGTTCTACGATCAGTCTTGTTCCTCATCAGGCTTAACCAGTCAGTATTTTGGCAGTTATTCAAATTCTGATTGTGTTAAAAAGGTACATCGTTGTGTAAATAGCCAGAACTCTACGACGCAACTTTGGTTCGGAGATACAAAAACTTCCCGCGATTCCGTTGAAACCTCAGAGGACGAGAGCCACGTGCGCACCGTCGAAACCTCGGGGGATGAGAGCCACGTTCACACTGTAAATTAATTGCATCGCATTCTATATTGTACCATTTGGAAATACGAAGCATTATAGCGAACTTTATCTCTATAAAATGTTGTGGAACATTGACCACGTTCACACGTGACCAGAATTGGTATAACCGTACTGAAATTTGCACCATTGTTTGCTAGTGGAAAACGGCCTTAAGGTTTCTAATGTGTCTATGCATTGTTACAATTATTGAAGTTATATACACTTAAGGCCCGTTTTATACCATTGCAATTTTTGTTGCAATTTTAGGTGCGATTTTCTTGTGATGGATGTGAACGAATGGATGAGTTGTGAATGTTCAGATGAGTGCACATCACTGTTCTCAAAACTAAGACTGGATGGAACTACCTTTTCAATTCAGTGAGGAGAGATTTTTAACTGTCATATTCCTTACGAACCTATCAAGCAAACATCTTCCTCTCCATAATTTGAAAGATATAGCTTCCCACAGCTCTTCCAATAAGTTTTCGATCGTTTCAAACGGGAAATAATGAGACGTGAGGCGGCCATTTTCACACCAACATGGCCGACATTGTCTTGAAGCATACACCCTATCTAGTAGAGATCAGTGGTGTATATACATATACTTGGAGCATTCATGCATAACTCGTCTACTTATTCACATGCGTCATAATTTAAAACTATTTGCACATACATATACAGGGTGGCTGAAAAATAGAGAAATAGCTATATGTTTTAGATTTTTACACAACTAATTATTAGTTTAGAACCGATGTTATGGCTGTTGTAAAATAAAGTCTGGTTCACCTGCCATTGGACCATTGAAAGCATGCATCAGCTGTTTTTAAATATTAATTCTACCAGACCAATTTTAATAATCTTATGGCATACCTAATTTTAAGAATTTTTTATCACTGCACATTTTATGCCAAAAATTTCCGAATGACTAAGAAAATTTCCAAATATTCGGAAATTTTTGGCGACCTCCCTCCCCCCCTCCCCCCCGTCGCCAAAAAAATTTTGGTCAGTGTACCATTTTAAGGGTCAAAAATTTTTTCCGGACATACCAAAAGCCAGATATTAACTAAAAATTAAAAACATATACTATTATTTAATTCGATAATTTGGCAGTCATCATTTCAATTTCAATTAAATCATTCTCTTGTGTTAATTAACAACTTATCAAACCAAATTTTATCACTGCACATTTTACATTTTATCACTGCACATTTTACTTTTATCACTGCACAAATTGGTTATCACTGCACACTAAAATTAGGTATGTCTTATGGAGTCAAAATTCATCTCTTAGATTAAATTTTCGATGCCTACTAATAACGAGCTGTGTGAAAACTGAACACAGCTATCCCATTGTTTTCGTGACCCTAAATGTACAAGTATAACTCGAAGTTGCATATATTAGCCTTAGGTCTGTCTGAAACGTCGAACTTTTCGATATGTAAATCATTAGTCCCATATGATTGCTTTTATTCCATTATTTGAATGAATTAGAATTATTTACTGGATCAGCAGGTTTTTGATGAGATATAATTTCCTACTTTTTCGTCGATTAACTGCTATAGGTATGGAAGCCAAGAAGAACGCCTTACATATAACAAACGAGCAACAGCTTGGCTATAGCTTAATAATTTTCTCGATGTAAAATCATAAATACTGTCAATTACGACAAGATTAATCAGGCCGTATAGCTACTGAAGTAAATATTTAATCCTATAAACCTCGTATTGTGTCAATGAATAATACCTTATTTCATTCTGTACAGTTAAATTACCTGACAGGCCCGACATGCAATGACGTTACAGTTTTATTGTGTGAGGCGTCAAATGTCAAATACTATAAGCTTCTGACAATTGCAGCTTGGAGTGTGCCAGTATAATGATTTTTCAGAAAATGCCCCAAAGACGTTTAATAAGGTAAGATGTTAAAGTTTTGCTATCAATACTATAAGAATTATAGGTAAACTTTATTCAGTACAATATGCATGGACATATAGAGCTTAAAATAGATGGAGTTGTAACAAATATACAAAACGTAGCTTTTTATTAAGAGACAATTCCTGACGTTTTCTTGTGTAAATGGAACAATATATACCTAAACGTGTAAATTCAAAGCCAGAGAAGTCAAATGAATTGAATGCATCAATATTTATCTTTAACGGTTATAAACGTTTAAGTTTCGGCGCGAGTCACTTTGATCTACCAGTCATTGGCATTAACGCCGCGATAAGTTTTTTATATTGCCCAGTCAGCCCAAGGGATGGTTTCAAGATTTCTTAAATCGGCCGTTGACCGGTATAACCTATATATATGCCTAGTAAACTTTAGTATATTAAAGGTAACGTTTTCTTTTTTAATTAGTGCGATCCATATTGATTTCCTAGTTTCATCACTTTTCAAGCATTTCTACAGTGGTTGAAAAAATGACTATTCGATCTTCGTACAATCCACCACATAAGATATGAAAACACAGGCACCAATCTTGAAAAAATCGGCCAATTCACAGGACCGCATGCTCGTCTCGATATATCACTGTATATTTTATTACCTTATATTAAATGTTGAGATATTGAAATTAATGTTTAGTCCGAAAAACTGAATGACAGATTGAAATTTTATAAACTTCAAACTTCATCGTTTTAAGATTCACTTTATTCCCGCGCGTCTGCATATATAAGAGGCGTATTCCTTTTTACCTTGTATTCGGCATATATCAACAAGCCCATGGGCTTATTGTGTAATATCGGGCAAATAGTTTTTGTCCCCCTATTTTTTTTTTACTCTTACGGCTCAACCGCTTACGGCTGCATGTGTATGAAAATTAATTATTACTGTCTCATATAACGTTATCTTGAAAATGAATGGGAAACGGTTTGAAAACCCCAGGGATCAATAATCACTAATTGTAAATTAAGCGAAAACTACTAAAAGTTTAATAGAACATGTAATTAATATATCTATTCTCTAATTTAATTTAAAACATATAAATTATTTTAAAATTTCGATCGGTTGTATAAGGTTAAGGCCATTTTCCATTGCAGACGCGTTTCCCGCGCGGGCGAAGAGAACATTACTCAACTTTCTCTGTAGTTGCCTAACCTGTGCATGTTTTGTCCACCTGATTGCTCGCGGACACGCCATGAAAGTAGAACTACATTCAACTTTCTTGGCGTGCCCTGTGGGCGACTGATTTTTCACGTGATTAAAATTGGTCGCTTCGCCCGCGCGGGCAATGGCCTTTAACCAATACATTTATTTCATAGTCTAGCGGCCATTATTTTGGCAACACTGTCTTACAGCAACGCATCAATGTTCAACAGTCAACCACAATTCACTATAAAAGCTGAGAAAAACAAAGCATTTGACGAATCCTGTCATATTGGAACGTTTAACATTGAAAGTGGAAACATAGCTGATTGTCTCGAGAACTGTTTGGGGAACTGTCGGTGTCAGTCGTTTCAAATTTGTAAGAAGACAAAATGTCAACTGTGTTCAAGTCACAAGGAAAAGAACAGTTCATTGCTTCATGACAAAGATGACTGCATCTATGCTATCTACGAGGTGCGACATTTGACAGGTCATCTGCAGGTGTGTAAATACGTTGATTACAATAAATTGTTTTAATGCTAAAAATTACCATTTTTTACAAGTAGTCAATCATATTACTTTATTATAATATATTAGTATATAGTGTTGAAGTGAACTCACATCCTTTTGTAAGGATTATTTATAAAAGCTATAAAGGGTATTTTCTTTCTCGTTTTAGTTTTATTTAACCGTGATTAAATGTTTGAATGCATGATTTAGTGCCATAATATGTCACGGTGTCTGGGAATTAAGCGAGAATTTATTCGAGGCCGGTATAGAACAAAGACTGGAGGACTAGTGAGAAATGCAAATGTGAAGAAGAGCGCTGCATGCTTCGGATCTAACAATTTTACTGCATGCATGTATTTCCTTGATTGTCGCTAGAAATATCTATTGGTTTAAAAAAGACTTTCGATGTTGATCTTTCAGTGGCGTAATTAATTTCGAAAACGTAAAAACAGGCGAACGAGTTAAGAATTAAGGCATTAAGTACTCAAGATGCAGAAAATAAGTTGAAAACCTTTTTAATTTTCGTGAGATGGTTTGATTTTTACATGTGAAACGTGATCGAAACCCCTCCGTTTACCATCATCACTAAAATATATGCATGAAGAGAAAGATTTTTTCAAAATTTTCTTTTAAAAATGTGTGTCGTCTTTTGAGAAAAATCAACAAAAACGCAAAGTCAACACTTTTAATAAAAGTTTATATTTCTTTAGAAATTGGAAGAGCAATGTACAGGCATGAGTTGTTTAATGAAGTACAATTGTTGTCAACAGTCTGGTCTCTGTGTCAAGAACTCGATATGCAAACGAATCAACTCCATCAAACAGCCCTGGAAACGTTTTGCCTGCGAATGCCCGGAGGGTTACCATGGAGATAACTGTGACGAGCCAATCACAACATGTGGAGGGTATTTAGACGGTCCTCGAAAATCGGGCATGTACAAAGTAATGGACTCTGAAAAGTCAATGCACGAAGTATACTGTCATTTTCAATCTGATGTAGCTTGGACTTTGGTGCAGTCTTACAGTTTTGCAAATGGTTCTTCCAACAGTGAATTTAAGCAAGTCCGAAAATCATTGTGTGAAAGTCACCCTCTCAGTGAAAATGCTGTAACATGGAGTGGTTATCGATTTAGCAAAGCGAGGATGGAATCTATCAAAAATAATTCAACATTCCTGCTGTTTACATGTGACTATGAGAAACACCTTGATATACAGAAATCGGACTATGCCCAAATTCGACTTCAAATTATTACGACCGATGTTCTTGAATGTAGCTATTTTACCGAATATGTTGCTATTTGCAATGGGTGTGGTAAAGTTGGAAAATATGATTTAAATGAATGTAAAATTAAGCTTCATCAGAATTCGTACTGGCCCTTGCATGTCCATATAGACGAAACAATTTCTGCCTGTAAGTTCAACAGTTTGTCTTGTTCCGGCTACGCGTCCGACTATTTTGGCAGCTATCATAGTTCCCCTGAATGTGTTAAAAAATTACATCGTTGTGCCCAGAATGCTAATTCTACGACTCAGCTTTGGTTTGGCATGCGTAGGGATAACGCAGCACAACCACCTCCTTGAGACAAAAAGAACTTCCGGCAGTTCCGCTTCGGTGCATGGATGAGAGTCACACTGTAAATAATTGCATTACTGGACGATTTGTAAATAAGAAGCATTAAAGTGAACTCTATTTGTATGTCTAAAATGTAATGGAACTTGGACCCAGTTCACATCTGACCAGAATTGGAAACTGTACTGAAATTTGCTCCATTGTACTCTTTTATCAGTTTGTTTTAGTTTGTGCAACTAACCGCATGGGATTCAAAGGAAAAAGAGATTTTCGTCATGTTGGATGATGATATTTGCATTCCAAACAAGCAAAATCCTTTGTCAATGTCCATAATAACAACTTGAAAGATGTTACGGTGTCTGTAATATACCAACTCCCCCAACCTCGCCGTATTAAATTACCAATTGGTGATAATTTATGTTAATATTATGTAATTCATGCTTCTACCAAACTTGTCAAAATGGCGGATTTGCTCCTTCAAAAGGAACTTAGCAGCGACGAACGATTTAGGCCATGTTCCTGTGGAAATGGCCGGAGAAAAACCTCCAGCAAACCCGTACAAGAGTGGGAATTATCTTGTCGACAAGAAGGCGGTTGGCATCGACTGGAAACATACTAGTGATACTACAAGCTCGTGGCATACTACGAGCTTGTAGTATGCTTCCAGTCGATGCCAACCGCCTTCTTGTCGACAAGATAATTCCCACTTTTCGACAGGTTTGCTGGAGGTTTTTCTCCGGCCATTTCCACAGGAACAGTTGTGACTAAAAGCCTAAATCGTTCGTAGCAGCTAAGCTCCTTTTGAAGAAGCAAATCCGCCATTTTGACAAGTTCGGTAGAAGCATAAATTACATAATACTAACATAAATTATCACCGATCGGTAATTTAATACGGCGAGGTTGGGGATCGAGTTGGGAAGTTGGTATATTACAGACACTGAAAGATGATACCATATTCAAATAGAGATGAATTTTGACACCGATGATTTTAGTTTTTGATGAATTTAGAACCGATGATTCACCCATTGGACTGTTTGAAATCATGCATCAGCTGTTTTTAAGTATTAATTGGTTTCTTTGGTTCTATTAGACCAGTTAATCCTGAGTCAAAATTCATCTCTCAGATTTAATTTCCGATGCCTACTAATAATTATAGCAGTGTAAAAAACTAGAACACAGGTATTGCATTGTTCTCGGGACTCGGAATATGAACAAGTATGTTGAAGTTGTGATATATTACTCTATAGGCTTAGGTTTGTTTGGAAAGTCGAATTCGAAATTCGAGTGATGTAAGTTATTAGTCCTATATGATTGCTTTTATTCCATTATTTAAATTAATTAGAACTATTTACTGGATCAGCAGGTTTTCGATGAGATATAACTTCCTACTTTTTCGTTGATTAACTGCTATAGGTATACTGCATGAAAAGCCAAGAAGAACGTCTCCAGCGAGCAACAGCTCAGTTGGCTATAGCTTAACAATTTTCGATGTAAAATCATAATACTGTCACTGACGACAAGATTAATCAGACCGTAGCTACTGAAGTACATATTTAATCCGATAAACCTCATGTTGTGTCAATGAATAATATATTTATTTCATTCTGTATAGTTAAATTACCCGACATGCAATGAATGACGTTTCACTTCTAGTGTGATGATGTATCATTGTCAAATTAGCTTCTCACGACAATTACAATAACAACTTGAAAGATGATGCCAGTAATAATTTTGCAGAAAATGCCCCAAACGCGTTTAAGGTAAGATGTTAAAAATTTGCCATAACTATAAGAATTAGAATAGGCAAACTTTAAATAAAAGTTCAGTATTGATATATATGCAGCTCAAAATAGAAATGCATATAGCGCTATCCACAGGATAGCGATTTTTACAAACTTATCTTAAATCGGCCGTTCATTGGTATACTGCTATGTATCAAACTTTAGTTACAAAAATTGAAGATTCCTTTTATAATTAATGCAATTTATATTCCCAGTTTCATCAAATTTCGTGTCACACGCACTTTAACTATCCAGCCTTCGTATACAACCCACCCCAGAAAAATATGAAAATCACAACGATCAGGATTTTTGCTGTTGAATGACATGTTTTTCATCCAATATGGAGAAAAAATGAGCAATTCCTATAAAAATTGTTTATCGAAATCGCATATTTCCACTGTTGAGAATTGGGTCTAAAACTATTGAAAATTAATTCCCTTTAGGACTCAAGTTGACAATTAAATTTTAATAAAATACCTGTGCACGCATAATTATATTATAATATATAATTATATTCCCTGAGCTCATGATCATTGTTAAAATAACACATTCGTGATTAATTGCTATTGCTTTTGCTCTTGCTATGCGCTACTGTAGCTGCTTTAATTAGGCGCAGTGGTAGAAATATGCGATTTTGACACACAATTTTTATTGGGCTCGTATTTGCTCATTTTTTCTCCATATTGGATGAAAAACATGTCAATCAAGAGCCAAAAACCTGATCTTTGTGATTATGAAAAAAATACGTTCATACACCGAGTAATTAACGCACAATGGCATGCTAAATTTGGACTTTTTTTGAGACACGCTGTATATAGCAGTATATTGAATGTTGATTCCTTTAATTGGAATTTTGTGCAGTAGTTATAGACAGTATGTTTTGAGTGCGAACAGGCTATATGTGTGTTATGGCCCATCCATTTGCACAAAACAAATTGATGGCCCACCCAAACTGATGAAAATTGAATTTTATGGCCCATCCTTATTTTCTCCGGTCCATCCTAGCAGTTACTTTATGACCACCGGTCCCTAACTTCTATTCAATTTTTTTCGTCCCCCTATTTTTTTCTCGCTTGTACGCTTATATATGAAAATTATTTATTAGCGTCTCATACAACGTCATCTTGAAAATGGCATGCAAAACATTTTGGAATAACCCAGGGATCAATAATTACTCATTGTAAATTAAAACAAAAACCACTAAAAGTATAGTAGTACATGTAGTTATATCTACATTATAATTCAATATAAAGCATATATGTTTTTAGTTTCGGTTGTAAGGGCTAACCAATAAATTTATTTCATAGTCTAGCCGCCATTATTTTGGCAACACTGTCTTACAGCAACGTATCAATGTTCAACAGTCGACCACAATTCACTATAAAAGCTGAGAAAAACAAAGCGTTTGACGAATCATGTCATATTGGAACGTTCAACATTGAAAGTGGAAACATAGCAAATTGTCTGGAGCACTGTTTGGATAACTGTCGGTGTCAGTCGTTTCAAATTTGTAACAAGACAAAATGTCAACTGTGTTCAAGTCACAAGAAAGAGAAGAGTTCATTGCTTCATGACGAAGATAACTGCGTCTATGCCACCAACGAGGTGCCACATTCGACAGGTCATTTGCAGGTGTGTAAACACGTTGATTACAATATGAAGTATGTAATGCTAAAAATTATATTTTTTACAAGTAGCCAATCATATTACTCCATTTGATATAATATTTAACAATTAATCGCCTCAGGCTCGGTGATTATCGGGATATTCCCGATTTTTTATATTCACTTGTGCAAAAATACTAAATTAAAATAGTGTAGAAAAGGACTTTATTTGATCTTTTTATAAGGATTATATAAAGGTTATAAAAGTGAAATCCATATTTATATTATATACAGCTATTTCAATTAAGGTTAATTGTCCCCGAGCAAAGCGGAAAAGTCGAATACGAGCGCGAAAGGCTGCTGGGAATCGTTAATAAATTCATTAATGTTTTAGCGATCCCAGCAGTTTTTTGCGCCTGTATTCGACTTTTCCGTTTTGCTCGGAGAAAACCTTAATTGAAATAGCTGTATACACACATGGTGGTAAAGGGTATTTTCAAGAGCCGTGAATTGCCAATGTTCTCTTAATTAAACACATGCATATGAAGAAATTTTTTTTGAGTTATTCCGCTAAACTGAAAAAGCTTAACCATTATGTCTTCTTTTGAGAAATCAACAAAAACGTAAAGTCAAGGCTTTCAAGAAAGGTGTTTATATTTTTTAGAAATTGGAAGGGCACTGCTCGGGCATGAGTTGTTCAATGAACTACAATTGTTGTCAAGAATCAGGTCTCTGTCCCACGAACGCAACATGCAAACCAATCAACTCGCCCCAACAGCCCTGGAAACGTTTTATCTGCGAATGCCCGGACGGTTACCATGGAGACAACTGTGACCAGCCAATCACGTCATGCCAAGGATATGCTAATGGTCCTCGAAAATCGGGCATGTATAAAGTAGTGGATTCTGATCTCAAGTTGGTGTATGAAGTATTTTGTTATTTTGATTCTGATGGTGCTTGGACTTTGGTTCATTCTTGCAGCTTTGCAAATGGACTTGATCAGTTAAAAAAATCTTTATCTCAAGATTTACATGTCGGCGGAAATGCTCTAGTATGGAGCGCCTATCGACTTAAGAAAACAATGGAATCCATCAAAGAGAGTTCAACTTTCCTGCAGTTTACCTGTGACTATGAAAAACACCGTGACATGGAACAATTGGATTATGTTCAAATTCGGCTTGGAAATATAAGCCACGATGTGCTTGAACTAAACAACGATCATACTTCCTATGTTACTGTTGGCGAAGGATTTGGTAAAATTGAAAGATATGATTTAAATGGTTGTCAAGTTAAGCTTCATCAGAGACCAAACAGGCCCTTGCATGTCCACGTTAGGCATGATATTCCTGACAGCAAATGTAAGGTCAGTGCCAACGATTCGTCTTGTACAAACGCCGACAAGTATTTTGACTGCTATGCTTCTTCGTCTGAATGTGTTAAAAAAGTACATCGTTGTGTACAGAATGCTAATTCCACGACTCAGCTTTGGTTTGGCATGCGTAAGGATAACGCAGCACAACTACCTCCTTGAGATGGTAAAACTTCCGGCCGTTCCGTTGAAAGTTACACCGTTAATTAAGGATTAGTGTCAGGGTCATGCATTGCGGGCTTTTGTTGTTGTTTACATTTTACTCAAATACAACAAATAGCGATAAAAATACCTTGTTTGGTACATTTCTGATAAAAATCAGACAAAAAGAGCAAGGATTATAAAAGGATGGTTCAAATATATGACGGATTGTAAAGACTTTCCAGATCATCTAATCTATTCGTTCCAAAAAATGGCCCCCAGCAGCAGTTTGAGCCCGCGAATTCCTGGTGTGACACCAATCCTTTAATTGCACTGAATGCACGAGTTAGAAATACGAAGCATTAAAGTGAACTATATCTTCAAAAATGCTATGGAACTTGGACTCAGTTCACACCTGACCAGAATTGGAAACTGCACTGAATATTTCTCCATTGTGCCCTTTTCTTAGTTTCTCTCATAACAGCGCCATTGTCTTCAAGCAGACGCCCTATCCAGTCCTAGTTTTGAGATCAGTGGTGTACATATACTCCGAGTATTAACTCGTTTACTCGTTCACATCCGTCAAATGAAGAAACTCACATTAGAAATCGCAGCAAAAATTACAAGTAATTTAAGACTATTTGCATGTACATTATTACTATTTAATTTAATAAGAAATGAACTTATTTTGTAGCCAAAAGGTTAAATTACCAAGGGTTGGTAGTAGCGAAGTAGTTGTAGTTCGCTACTGTAGCGAACTACAATTCTCAAGTAGCCAGTAGTTTTTTACTACTTTTATAAAACAGTAGCGGTAGTGATAGCGAACTACATTTTGCCTAAAAGTAGCCAAGTAGTTGACTACTTTTCGAACAGCGAATCGCTATTCGCTACTTTTTAAAATTGTTATCAACTTGATAGAATAACATGATATTGGAGCATGAAATAGACACGGTTCGCTTAAAATCAATACTCAATTGTCTATTTGCACTCCTGAACACTGTAGTGCTTACAAAAATGTTGCTTTGTGTTTACTGTTGGTACTCGTAAGTCGATTTGTTACAGGTTACATTACAGCCTGAGTTAGTAGATGCTCCAAATACAGTAAAACTAAAAAATATAGCGTAGCGAAATAATTCGCTACATTTTTTAATTAAGCAGTAGCTGTAGTCAGTAGCGAACTACCTTTGTTCAAAAGTAGCAGTAGTTGTAGCTGACTACATATTTTCGAAGTAGCTATAGTTATAGCGAACTACAAAAATTTTGTAGTCAACCCACCCTTGTAAATTACATAAGATCTTCTGTATATAGCTAAAATCTATTATATTACTATATTACATATAAGAATAATATAAGACTAAACACTTAAGTTACGATTGATATTAAAATTATATCCTACTATTTTCTTTAGAAATCATTTCGGGTAAAAAGGAATGTTTAAAGCGGTCAGTTTTGTAACTATAGTTATTGAATTTACGTGGTAATCTTAAGTCATAGTTTGATGTAAATGAGTCTGGAAATAAGTCCGTCATTTTGTCATTATTAATATGTTGTTTAAAGAATTCATCACAAAGTCTTTGCCGCCGGTCATAAAGGGTAGTAATTGCTGTAATTTCTAATGCCTCCTTGTAAGTTGAATTTGGAACAATGATTTTTAATGCACGTTTGTGGATTCGTTCAATATCATCCGATAAAAATTTTTGAATGTTAAAATGCCACACTTGACAGGCATACTCAAGTATTGGTCTTATTACTGTTATATAAAGAACGACCAGAGTCTTCGTATCCGCTTTTGATCGTTTAAATAACCTCAGAATATACAAGCGTTTACTTGACTTTTTAACAATATTTTCTACATGAAGGTTCCACTTTAGATTGTTTTGAACCACGACGCCCAAGATCTTTTCGGATTCGACGAGCTTAATTGGATTGCCATCCACAGTCAGAGGTTGAAAAGATCTCTTTTCATTAGTAAAATCAATTATTAGTTCTTTGCATTTGGCAATATTAAGTTTCATGTTATTATTAATAGTCCAAGTAGTTATAGATAGGGTGCCCGAGAAAAATGCAGTAGCTATGTAGAAGCCAAGAACGCTCTATGTATAACGGACAGGCAAACAGCTGCCATATAGCTTCTTTTCGATGTAAAGTCGCAAATACTATCACTGACGACAAAATTAATGAAACTTATGAAAGTGTTGCTACTGAAGTGAATATTTAATTCCATAAACCGTGTTGTGTCAATGAATACTTATTTCATTATGTGTACAGTTAAGGTACCTGACAAGCCTGACATGGAATGACGTTTCAATTTTATTGTGTGATACATGATCTTAGAATTTCTTAGACTTCGGTAACAAGATATGGCACAAATTCAGTAGTAATATTGTTTCTTGTGACGTGCATGGGCATTTAGTCTTATCTTAACCTCAAAATTTGGTCGGAAAAACCAAAAGCTTTGCCGACTAAATCTTGAAATAATTTAGTGGTTCGTTTCATTAAATTAATGTTCTTCAATACATGATATCAGCACGTAGAATCTACGCATGCACAGTAAAGATGAGCTAGCTCATTTTGGGTGTCAATTTGTTACCTCAATTTCCGATCTTGAAGGGGAACAGTTAACTAGAACTGATATAAATCCAAGATACATATAAAAAGCAAATTTAGATTCTTGATTTGTAGATACAATTTTTCGTACCAACAAACATGCTTTGTCGGCTTGTCCTAAGGCTACTTGTTCCCATGCTCTTTTCGGGAACGACAGAGTTCATTATCAGGCTCTTTAATCTTAGTTAACTAGAAATAGTTGAGAACAATGGATGTCTGGAGAGCATATGGAGAGCTGTGGGATTTGTAAACAAAGGAGTAGGGCAAAGCACAACATTTTTCTTGCCCTCCAGATATTGCTATGCAAAGTGTTGTTAGACCAGCTGCAAAGGACGTATTCGCCACAGACTTGCGCCCAGAACGTTGCCGTACGTTGCCTCGGGGATTTTAATCCACCATCCCGTCCGGCTATATATTATAGAGAGTTGTGGAATAACATATTGAAAAGGGAAAATTTCACATATTTTTCTTTCATATTAAAGGTGATGTAAAGTCCGTAATGTAAACAAACGCTTTGTTTACATTTTGAACTCAGTGCTACAGTTGTAAAATTTGATTAGATATATATTATACTGAATTTTTAACACTCTTGCGGTTCGCTATGCTTGTAAATGAATGCAGACAAGAGATTCAATTCAAGAAAGTTCGAAATATTAACAACATTCCAAATGTGTTGATGCGCAGAATATATGCGCAGAACGGACTTTACAGCATCTTTAATGTTACATGGAATTTGAACTTATTACTTATCAGTTGAAATACTTATATAGTTACACGGTCGTTTTAAAGTCTCTTTAAATTTAATTGCCAAGATCCAATACGACATCACAAGGTAATCGTGCAGTTTATAGTGCAACAACAATGCTTGTTTAAATATTCTTGTTCTTATTTGTTCTTTAAACACTTTTAAAGCGGAAGTAGTTTGGACGGAAGTGTAGAAGAAGTGTTTTTTTTGTGTTTTTTTTTAATATATTTATTTTCACAGTTACTTCGACCAAGTTTTCAAAACAATAATTATTCTCAATCACCCTCACGACATTCAATAACACGTACCACGCCTTCTACACTTCCGTCCAAACTACTTCCGCTTTAAACACTACATCATTCTTGTCGTTACTAGTTGTTCTTGTGGTTTTCATTGCCTGCCTGCATGGTGGGGACCTAGGTGTCTGAAGCATAAATATCTTATATACACTAGGTAGCGCATCTCTTTTAGTAAAATTGAAGCCAAGAATATTCCAGCGGTTACACCCATTTGAATAGATGGCGGCCATGTTGAAGTTTCCCACTCGCTAATAAACGCTTAAAAAACAACAATAACTTTCATCGTTTGAATAGTTTGAAAATGTAGTTGGAATAGGTTTAACTCAATGTTTAAGTTCCCTGTTCAAGAAATAGAAAACATACGAGTCTTCTCATTTCATGGGAATATCCCGAGTCTGCAATCCTTTCGATATGCCCATATTATATACATGACTATATAATCCCAGTAATGAAACCTTTCCTTTAATGCTCGTTAAAATTTATTGAAGTCTCATGTAAAAATGGTATTCATGCATGGATCTTATGGTTTTTGGCGTGGAACAAGGGGGTTGAGGGAATAGGCCAGCATAAAGGTTTACACAGGCGGGTTTAGCTCCCCTAGAAATATATAAGGTGTGACTATATATTTTCAGTATAACTTTATAAGTCATATTGTTTGTATTTGAAATAAATATTTTTTGAAAAAGCTGCCAGCCAGTTTCCATCTATACAGTTATTTAATTCTCGAGTTCAATTATACCTCGCTTGCTATAGCTATTATATTATATTTACATTTTTACCTTTACATTTATTAACTTTGCCAGCAGAAAATTACAATAACAAATTACATTTTTATTAACTTTGCCAGCTGGCATAAACTTACAATATTCAATAACAATTTAAAATTGTGTTGCTGGGTCACCGCACAGTTCATGCCAATTACTGCGGACCCAAATGTATATAGCCTTCTAAGCCCTCACCAAGTTATTCACAGTATACAGTAGTTTCCAAGCTAAACAGTAAAGTAAAGACATGGGTTTCAATAATGTTATAAAAGTTCTAATTTTAGCTAAGACTTAGTTGCGATATTACTTACTCTACTGTCTGCAATTAATAATATATGATAAAAGTGCTCAATGAATTTTTTATAGAGCACGAATGAATTAATCAAGTGCCTTAAAACACTGTAACAATCGCGAATCATGCATGGGTTCACTATTTACACCCCTATTGCACTTTTTGACGCATATCAACTGAAATTTGCTTGTAATGAAACAAATCGGAGTTAGTTATCCCATCGATCTATAAAGAGCGACATGCATGGCACTAAGTTTCAATAATGTTATAAAATTCCCAACTCTATATAGCCTAGTTGTGACATTACTATACTCTCCTGTCATTAATAATAAATCATGCGTAAATGTACTCAATTTCGAAGTTGTTTATGCACTTCGCTATTTTCAAAAGTGACTAACAATAAAGCACTGTAGCAGTCGCGAATCAGCCATTTTGTGGAGAAACATTTAAACAGAGAAAGGTTATTATAAAATTCGTTAAATGTGTATATGGAATATGAAATTTGCCAACTCATGCATGCTTTTCAAAATTAATATTTAATTCCTATAAACTTACAGTAGCCTCATAGGTGAACTGTTTAGGAATAATTGCTTCATTAACTATAATACTTGCGACAGCCTTGCATCAAGACAACAGCGCTCTTTTACTGAGTTTAATTAAAGTGTCAAGAACAATTTCGAAAAAAAATGTTCGAAAGACTTTTGAGGTAGGATGTCAATAATTTTTTGATAAGATGTTTTCTAAAGCAGGTGTTATGAACTAGGATTGCGCTCATGAGTGATGTGCTCAATCTAATCATTTTAGTTAATATATGTTTATATTCATTTTAAATTCATTCAGCCTTTCAATGCCGGCATACTTTTCAAACTCGAGTGCTTGCATGGTTCGCGAGAAGAATATAATTTCTTGTGACTGAGAACAACCGAATGTCGTTTTGAAGATCTGAGATAAGCAATTTATTGTTTTAAACAATCTATAGAGTATAGTATGTTTTTACAGCGCAATTTGTAAATTCCATATTTTTACGATAACTAGTTAAAAACGAGAGATAAGCGCAAAAACTTCGAAGTGCAGTGACGCTACATGAAATGAAACCAAAATTGTCAATTATACTTAAAATCTGCCAAGAAAGGCGCCCTCAGAATGCCGGCCTTCGACTCAATAAGGTCAACTGTGTCCTCCGCAATTCAGCTTAGCTTATACAAGTAAGGATGATTAACACATCCCAACTTATACTTATACTTAGTTTAGTTTAGTACGGTTTAATAGCATGCCTATATGTCTATTTATGAGTTACAAGGTCACTTGCATGTCTGGTTTTCCTATATATACTACTAGCAGAGTATTATGTATTTTCTCTTAATGTGCAGCAACTTCATTGGAACTAATTAGTTTTTCATCAGTGAAAATGTTTGCGTAATGCACGTAACCTGTATGCAAGTCTCGATCCACTTCATAAGCTGACCGCCCTAATTGCATGCAACATACGCGGAAAATTCGACTTACAGTCATAGACATTATCATGGTCAATCAAAACTTTCAGCTTGCTCGGTGTTGGAACGACTCGTACGTTAAATAGTCAATTTTCAATAAGCCGTGGCTTATTTATATGCCTACAGCTTTCAACCCTGTGCTTATTTTAGCCGTGGCACGCCAGTCATTCGCGACTTATTTAAAGCTGGTTTTCCACCAGCGATTTTTTTCGCGCGAATAGACTTTAGATACTTTTGTCTAAAACTAATTAGTTCCAAATGGTTCCAGCCAAAAGCTCAAGAACAAACTGAGCAAATAGTCGCTTCGCGCGAAATAATTCGCTAGAGCTGAGTAGAGGAAAATCGGCTTTAAGCCGCAGCTTATTTTCGCTCGAATAAATGGTCCTAAATGGCCATGCCCAATAAGCGTCAATTATACTTAAAAACTGGCCAAATAAGCGAAAGAAAGTGCTTCACTTATTGAAACTGTCTTAAGGTGGCTCCCTACAGTTTACTCGAAAATGGAAAATCTCCTATTTTGGACCCAATTTTTCAACAGTTCCTATATGTTGAAAGACAAAGAAAGTCCGATTAGAAAAATAATAACAACAGAGTTGGATTTTTTCGAAAGAACGAATACTGCCGTTGCCATGGCAACAATGACGCTTCAATATGGCCGACATTTGGGTTTAAAGTTATTTAACACGAAAATAAGGTCCGTGACCCCCATTTTTTATTTCATAAAAAGAATTCGTTTAGTATTTTTCAGGGAAAAGTACTATTCGTTTAGGCCGCAGGTTCGATTCCTGTCAGGGACCTATAATTGCATTTTTCGCAGCTGTTCCTGGTTAGATCTACGGTGATAAATGTATGTAAATTTACACTCGACAATTTTCCAGCTATTAAACCCTTCAACTATATATTCACCCCGTCTAGCCCATGAGTATTAAATGTCATGCGAATGACGAATTTCTTGTTGATTTTCGATCAATGTTATAATGCATCAATGGGTTTGATGAACCCCCCCCCCCCCCGCAGCACCACCAGCCCCCTTACTTTAAACCACCGTGCATTATAACGTTGGTTCTAAAGGACTGATTACATTGGGAGTTTTCAGCCCGGGCTGGTTAACCGAGCTGAAATTGTTTCAAGATTACATGGCAAATTTCTGCCCGGGATGAGTTAGAAATTTAATTCAAACCGGGGTGAAATCTCAGCCCGGGCTCGGTAAACAATCAAGTCTCAAAATGGAACTATTCCGCTTCTTGGAAGAATTTAAAATGTTGTTCATGTTTATTATTTGACTTCTGCGAGACTGTGGTTGCATTTAAAAATAGAATAGACAGAAATAAAGCCACTTAGGGTGATTCAACAGTTTTACATAGCGCACTTTTACTGTGCATATCTAATAACAAATTCTACTTCGTATATGTAGTCGAACTGCAATGTAAATTGATAAAGAAAGAGTAAGGGCAAAGAGAAAAATACTCTGCATTGATTAGGCGTGCTTCAGGAAACATACCTTCAAAAATGACAGAACTCTGGCTAGGGCTGCTGTGTAAGGCTAACACTAAACTCATATACTGTATCATGTTCAAAGTAGTAATAAAGAAAGAGTAAGGGCAAAGAGAAAAACACTCTGCATTGATTAGGCGTGCTTCAGGAAATATATATCTTCAAAAATGACATGCAGAACTCTGGCTAGGGCTGCTGTGCAGCTAACACAAAACCACATATTTCATGTTGCATGTTTCAAGGGCATATATATGACTTCTTTGATAGATTTTTGTTTTCTTGCTTCGTTTTGGAGATATTTCATTTTGTATGATATGCAAAGGACCAACTTCCTACGTCACATATGCATAATGATTTAGCCCTAAAAACTGTGTATCTTTAATACGACTAAACACAATCAGTAGAAAACCTACATGGGTGTTGTTGTGGACAAATCTCGTGCTCATCATTCATTTTGAGCGAATTTATTTGATAGTGACAAATTTATATAACATTTTAAAGTAAGTCATTATGCATGTCTGACAAAGAAAGTTGGTCCTTTGCATATCATATAAAATAAAATATCTCCAAAACGAAGCAAGAAACGAAATCTGTCACAAAGAAGTTACTCTACATTTTTCAATCATCTTTCAAATTAGACTAAAAAATAACATCGTCAATTTTCGAATCATATATGCCCATTAACACTTGTATCTCTTGGTCCGTGAACAAACTTTTTTATTTTATATTTGTGTTCTCTATATACGTTTTACATGTCATATCAGAAAACAAGAGAAAAATCATTTCTACAACTTATAATATTTTACATTTTTCGCGCATGCTTCCCAAAACAACATGTCTGAGAAGATGGGAAAAGACATCTTTGCACCACGACAATGAACGTCAATGGTTTTTGATTCGCTAAATTAAATACCATGCATGTTTTCACTTGTATATAATCACTAGGAAGACATTTTTAGTAGGATCCTTGTTAAAAAGATTCAATAACGGTTGAGCAATTGCGATTGTTTCTGTGATTCGTAAACCTGTCATATCTTCGAAACGAGTTCGGTGAGCCCAACTTTTTTTCTGTTTTTACTACTATATATAAGAATATCATAAACTTCACCCCTGGGAATTTTCAGCAAACTCTCATTTCCAAAGCAATTCTAATGGGTCATCTTAAATAAACGCTGTTTTTTCAACCCAGGCTGAAACTCATCCGGGGCTGAAATTTTTTGATGTAATCACTTGCTGTGTTTTAATAGGATTTTATCTTTAGTCCGGGCTGAAATTTCAGCCCAGAAAATCGGGATGAAACTCAGCCCGAGCTGAAAACACTTCATATAATCAGCCCCTAATAGAACGAATTTTAATAATTTCAGTGCCAAAATTCATCCATCGATTTAATTTTCACTGCCTACTAATATTTGGATGTGTAACTGTATCTGGAACATCCAGCTATTGCATTTTTGGACACGCTGTATAGAATATGTTCAAAGATCTTTTGCATCATGCCCCAATGTTCTTATGTTTGCTGGATCGCGCTGCCTATTGTTTGAAATTCACGATTGGCTTTGGAGGCCATCGTCTTCCAGCTGTTCCCAGAGTAAAATGCCATGCAATTGGAAGTCACCATACCTATGAGACTGCCACGGAATTATCAATGAACATTAGTGAGTTTAAGCTTCGCGTTATACGTCAAACGGCAAACGCCAGGCAAAGAAACATTTTATGATATTGATCAGGCAATAAAGAGTAAATTAGCTTGCTGTTTTAAAACTGAAATACATAATTATTCTTTCGACAGAAGAAAGAAAATATGAAACGAAAACGTTTAACAAAAATTTTGCCAAGAAAATTCAAACCTGCCGTTTGCTGTTCCCGGAAACGTGAAGCTTAAACTCCCTATTATATATAAAACGTCTGTATAAAATTAACTAAAATAGTACATGACATATCATGTGAAGGTTTACCTACAATATTTACTTTATATAGTCTAGCCGCCATTGTTTTGGCAACTCTGTCTTACACCTGCAACGCCTCAATGTTCAACAGCCAACCACAGTTTACCATAAAAGCAGTGAGACGCAAAGCATTTGACAATTTCTGTCTTGTCGAAACGTTCAAGATAAAAAGTGGAAACATAGCAGATTGTCTGGAGCACTGTTTGGAGAACTGTCGGTGTCAGTCGTTTCAAATTTGTGGAAACACAAAATGTCAGCTGTGTTCAAGTCACAAGAAAGAGAACAGTTCATTGCTTGATGACAAAGATGGCTGCATCTATGCTACGTACGAGATGCGAGATTTGACAGAAACGTTTCAGGTAATGCCTCTGAGGTAATGCATGTGACTGTTAATTTAAAAAGTGAAGAAATTTTTGAGATATTTCAATGTGTTTCCTTCCATGCATATATATACATCCAATATTTTGTTATTAATATTCACGATTGTGACCATATTGCATTTTATCTTCTAAGAAACTGGACGAGCAGTGTTTGGCAGGCATAAGTTGTCCAATGAAGTACAACTGTTGTCAACAATCAGGTCTCTGTCCCAAGAACCAAACATGTAAACCAATCGACTCCCAAGAACAGCCCTGGAAACGTTTTAGCTGCGAATGCCCAGATGGTTACCATGGAAACAACTGTGACGAGCCAATCATGTCATGTGGCGGGTATTTAAATGGTCCTCGAAAATCGGGCATGCACAAAGTAATGGATTCTGAAAAGACAGTGTATGAAGTATACTGTCATTTTGAATCTGATGTAGCTTGGACTCTGGTGCAGTCTTACAGTTTTGCAAATGGTTCTCTTGATCAGTTCAAGGAATCTTTATCCGAAGATCGTCCTATCAGTGAACATGTTCTGACATGGAGCGGCTATAGACTTAGCAAAGCAAGAATGGAGTCTATCAAAAGTAGTTCAAATTTTCTGCAGTTCACATGTGACTATGAGAAACACATTGATTTAAACCAGTCCGACTTCGTTCAACTCGAGCTTCAAAATCTTAAAACCACAGTAGGGGGAAACATCGTTGACGTACTTGAACTCAGTGGATATACATCCTATGTTGTTGTTCGCAATGGGCGTGGTAAAGTTGGAGAATATGATTTACGTGATTGTCAAATTCAGCTCGTTCAGTGGACGCAATGGCCTTTGCATGTCTATAGGATTTATGGATGTATATTCAACGTATTGTTTTGTACTGACAATAACTATTACCATCTTTTTGGCAGCTATTATTCTCATTCTGCTTGTGTTCAAAAAGTACATCGTTGTGTGCAGAATGCTAATTCTACGACGCAGCTATGGTTTGGCATGAGTAAGGCTAGCACAACACAACCACCTCCTGGAGACACAACTTCCGGCGGTTCCGTTGAAGCCTGGGAGATGCCTGGGGGATGACTGATGAGAGCCTCGCTGTAAATTAATTGCATTCCATATTGTGCAACATTTGGAAATTCGAAACGTTATAGTAACTGTATCTGTATAAAATGTTATGGAACTTAGAACACCTGATCAGAATTGGAAACCGCACAGAAATTTGCTCTATTGTACACTTTGTCTTTACACAAGACGCATGAAACCAATAGTAATTGCACTCGACGAGGTTTTGTAAGGTTCCGAATGCGTCCATGCAATCTCGTGTGATGTAGTCTTAGAATTTTTGCATATTTATATATGAATATTTATAATTGAGTTGTAAACACTTAAGGCCCGTTTTATACCCTTGCAATTTTTGGTGCGATTTTCTTTTGACGATTGTGAACGATCACTCATCTCAATACTAGAAGTGGATGGAGGAACCTTTTGAATTTAGGGAATCAATTTTGAACCCACAATATTTATAGTGAGGAGAGATTTTTTCACTGTCATATTACTTACGAATCTATCAAGCAAACATCTTCCTCTACGTAACTTGAAAGATATAGCTTCCCACAGCTCTTCTTCCCACGTTTAGTCTTTTGGATCGTTTTAAACGCGAGATAATGAGACGTGAGGCGGCCATTTCCACACGATAATGGCCGACATTGTCTTCAAGCAGACGCCCTATCCAGTCCTAGTTTTGAGATCAGTGGTGTACATATACTCCGAGTATTAACTCGTCTACTCGTTCACATCCGTCAGAGAAAGAAACTCACATTAGAAGTCGCTGCAAAAATAATAATTTAAAACTATTTGGGGGGGGGGGGGCTATTTGCATATACACATACAGGGTGCCTGAAAAAATGTAGTAGCTATGTTTCAGATTTTTGCACAACTAATTATTAGTTGGCAACGAAATTTAATCTAAGAGATGAATGTTGAGACTAAGATCGTTAAAAGGGATGTAGTAGAACTGATGTTATCATGGTTGTTGTAAAATAAAGTCTGGTTCACCCCTCTAGGTTCACCCATTGGATTATTGAAATCATGCATGCATCTGCTCTTTTTAAGTATTAATTGCCAATTGGTTTCTTTGTTTCTACTAGACCAATTTTAATAATCTTAGAGTCAATATTCATCTCTTAGATTAAATTTTTATTAAATCTGGAACATAGCTGTTGCTTTTTTTTTCGGGACCCTAGAGCTGTATATGAACAATTATATTGAAGTTGTATATATTAGCCTTAGCCCGCTTAGGTCTGTGTGAAACGTCGAACTTTTCGACATTCGTGTGATGTAAGTCATTAGAGTCCTATGTGATTGCTTTTATTTACTTAAATTATTTATAACTATTTACTGGATCAGCAGGTTTTCGATGAGATATAATTTCCTGCTTTTTCGCTGATTAACTGCTATAGGTATAGAAGCCAAGAACGCTCTACTGTACATATAACAGACGAGCAACAGCTTGGCTATAGCTTAATAATTTTCGATGTAATTCATAAATACTGTCACTGTCGAGAAGATTAATCAGGCCGTAGCTACTGAAGTAAATATTTAATCCTATAAACCTCGTGTTGTGTCAATGAATTGATTACTTATTTATTCTGTACAGTTAAATTACCCGACAGCGGACAGGCCCGATATGCAATCATTATGACGTTTCAATTCAGTATTATATGATGCATCAAATGTCAAATAAGCTTCTGACAATTACAGCTTTAAGGATGATACCAGTAATAATTTTACAGAAAATACTCCAAAGGCGTTTAAGGTAAGATGTTAAAGAATTGCTATAACTAATAAGAATTTAAATAGTTCAGTATTGTCTATTGACCATTGAAATGCATATGTAGTTCAAGATAGAGGGGATTGTAACAAATCCAAAATGTAAATTTCATTAAGAGAGAATTAATTCCCGACGTTTTTTTGAGGGTAAATGGAACAAAACCTTAAAGGTGATCTACAGTCCGTATGGAAACAAAGCGACATTTTTGTGTCCAAAATATTGAGCTTTATTCGACAACTATTTATACTTTCAAGCTTCTAGAGTATAATAAATGATCAAGAAACAACAATCAGGCTTTTCAAGAACTCAAAACATAGTTAAACTGTTTGTATCATAAAAAGTGGGCTCATTTGTGCACATGCGCAGATCGGAGTGTAGATCACCTTTAAATAAGCCACAGGAGTCAAATGAACGCATTAAATGTTTGAAGTTGGTTGTACAGGGTGTCTAAAAAAACGCTATGGAAATTCAACAGGCTGTCGTGCATCACACACGTGGCTAAACAATTCAATATTTACATAGGACGCCAGAACAGTTATTTAGCTTTACAATGATACTCTTTTTAAATCGTAAAGCCCGCCGCACACGAGCGCACTTGCCACGCGTACTTGTTATTCGTGACAAGTTGGATCGACAAAATTTCCTCGTGTGCGGGCAACATTTACGGCATTTTCGTCATTCGTGACATGTAAACCAAATATCAAACATGTTTGATGATTCGCGACAATTAAGTGCGCTCGTGTGCGAGTTTATCTATTGGTCGAGTGTCGAGTGTCGAGGGTTAAATGTCGAGGGTAAAAAGTCAAGGGTAAAAAGTCGAGGGTGAGGGTAAAAAGTCGAGGGTTAAAAGTCGAGGGTTAAAAGTCGAGGGTTAAAAGTCGAGGGTAAAAAGTCGAGGGTTAAAAGTCGACGGTGAAAAGTCGAGGGTGAAAAAATCACAAAAAAATACAATATTAAGGTCAAGTAACCGCTTTGAATAAGGCCATAACGACGTCTACGTGTCTTCTCGGCAGTGTTGTTATATGAGCACTTCTAAACCAAATATAATCAAAACTATAACATGCGTTCCACGCACATATACTATATACGACACGTGGCGTATTCTGCGTTTTAAATGTTCTAGGCCTGCAGCCGTGCAGACAGCAATACAATCAGTTATATATTGTTTATTTTCTACACAAACTACAGTATATTACATACTAAGCAGGGCTCTTTAAAACAAAGCGCCCTGCTTTAACCGGCAATAAATAAACCGATGATGTAGGGGTAATTAATATCGCAACTTGATATAGCCTAAAAACAAGGTTCTTTGTAGTATACTGTATGCGCTTAATCGGCTAAATTATCAGTTATTCCCGCAAAGCAGACGAGGTGTGAAACACAAACGTACGTAAAACTCCGAGTAGCCTACCTATACCGTTAACTTTTAAGATAGACAGAACTCTTTATAAACAATCCCGCGTTTAAAATAATCGCGGGCCTCCGAATTTAACGCTTTCCAAATTTGCTTGAGTGCACACGAAACAATAGCTTAAAATTGAGAAGTCAAGTTATTTGTTGTCATCATTGCCAGTCTCGATTTTGTACCATTGTAATGTGTCCACAAGCAAATTCGTAAAACACGAATAATAAAATTGAAACTTGGTCAATTTTATGATTGTTATTTATTTAACTAACTAACATGAACAGAAACAGCATCGACAATGACTAATTATATAGGCAGCTAATTCAAAAAAGGTTGTCCTTCGAAAATCTCAAACCTTAAACTCTAAGCGCGCAAAGAGTGATAAGTAATTTCTTTTTAGGGCTTTTTATTGAGTTTTGATTGGTCTCAGAGTTTAAGGTTTGAGATTGTGGAAGGAAAACCTTTTTTGAAACACCTGTAATTATAGGAGAGGCTACAGGAGAGGCTAACCCTCATCAGAACTTCCAGACCATACAGCATCGTAATATAATTTGTCTGAAGACATTTTCAGCGAAATATCCATCAAATAAATTTTAAGCCAAGAGAGCAGAATGCAAGATGCAAGCGGGTTGATTTTCAACCCGGGTCAGCACGCCACAGGTGGTTATTTTTTTATTCTGTTTACATGAACCCGGGTTGACGACAATTTTGCCAACCCGGGTCAGCAATTCTCAACCCGGGCTGACTCGAGTAATATTCCGAGCAACAGACTGGAGCAGAGTGTATTTTTGGCGCGTATATCCCTTAATTAAAATCCCTTATAGACCTCATACGATATTATTACGATTATATACCTTTTAGTTTTGGCGCTTATTATATCTTTCAGTATACAATTATATCCCTTTTTATCAAGGATTTAACCGTATAGCATCTTAATTCTGCCTTAAAGACGTTTTCTTCCCTTTTTTTCCTCGTTATTTTGTACTGGAAGATCTACTGGGCAAAAATATTCGGCATCGAACGCCAACGCCAGACCTTCGCGCAACTTTGAATACATTGCGACAACATCGGAGTTGAAATGTACATTTTTATAATTCATCTCCGTCTTATTATCCTTCAGAGAAAGGATTAGGTGATCAATAATTTCAGACCACCACTGAAACGCGGGTTGTGCATTTTTTCTTTTGGTTTTGGACAGTTTTTACTCGCCATACTGTATGATTTTATATGTCTGTACCAAAAAGAGACGGAGAAAATACGCACGCAAAATGTTGAAATGCGATATGACGCTAGGTGCAAAGTTCACAATCAGGAATTTACCGCACTTTACATGATCCCGGGTCAAGCCAACCCGGCTTTACATGAAGAAATGAGTAAACTTTTCACGCGTTCACACCTCGCCAACCCGGGTCGACCCGGGTCTCGAGAAGGGTGCCCCGGGTTGGCGAGGTGTGAACGGTTGACCCGGCTATCGTGTAAACGCTAATATAGATTTATTCGTAGACGGGTTGACCCGGGCTGGCAAGCCAACCCGGGTTGATAGTCAACCCGGGCTCGTGTAAAGGGGGCCTTAGGATATACGAGGCGTGATATCCGCCAAATATGTTTATTCGAGCCAGTGGTTGCGGCATGTCGGATATGTCAATAACCTGATCTGCCAATAAAGGCGAAAACATCGCCCAACGTGTGTGCATGAAACGCATATTATATAACAATACTGCTGAGAAGACACGTAGACGTCGCTACATGGCCTTATCCGAAGCGGTTACCTGACCTTAATATTGAATTTGTATTTTTTGTGACTTTTTTACCCTCGACTTTTTACCCTCGCCCTCGACTTTTTACCCTCGACACTCGACACTCGACAAATAGATAAACTCCTCGTGTGCGGCGGGCTTAAGTTCGACTTCCGATACCAATACCGATACTAGCAACATGTCACGCGCATCAGTCTCTGCTTGGAAGAAGCACGAGGACAAGTGTATTGGAAGTCACCACTACCGAAGTCGGCCTTGTATTGGAAGTCGGGGGAATTGTAAGATAAACTCATATAAATCGGATACTTCATAATTTTTACGATAAACATGTAAACTATTTGTTTATTAGCATCGCCTGAGTCATGTTCTAGTCGGAATTTTAGCTCAGCTGCCGTTTAGTATACCGCACATTTTCGGTGACGATCAATGTGTTCTATATACTTTATCTGTCGTGATAACTTAACGATTTAAAATTCCCGGTACCAAAATGAGAACGGAAGTGAAAACATCGGTATCGGTATTGGCATTGGAAGTCGAACTTTAACTCTTTAATAACTCAATACTGAAGAACTTGAACCATGTCAGTTAATGAACTGACATGGTTCAAGTAACCCCTGAACAGAGAACATTCGTGATCAAAACGTTTTATGAAACATATAGCTTGCAGAAGGCTCGCGTTGCTTTTGGATTGACTAACTTCGCATAACCGGCAATTTTTATTTGACGAGTATGTGGTCATTTATCATCGTTACGATTTAAAAAAGGTATCATAGAAAAGCTAAATAACAGCTCTTTCGTCCTATGTAAAAATAGAATTGTTTAGCTAAGTTTATGATGCACGACAGCCTGTTGAATTTCCATAGAGTTTTTTTTAGGCACCCTGTATATGCATCTTAAAGTTATAAACGTTTTAGGTTCGGCGCGTCACTTTGTCTGCCCTCTGATTGGCATTAAGTAGGAAACACCTCTAAGGGACCGGGTGGCACCGAAGAGAAATGTTTTTATAGGTAAATATTTTGCTGGTCCAACCATTCCAAAAACAATTTACCCATGCAGCCTCAAATAACAATTAAAAAATAAATACCCACCCCTGCCAAAAACTTTACAAAGGTTGTAACACATGCATGTCCTTTACCACTTCTGTGACATGAATTTGATAACTGCTTGTGCAATTTTCTGCAGTCCAAAGTTTCATGTTGACTGCACAGTACTGTCTTTGGGGACACCATTTTTCTCCTGGCAAATCGGAAAATGATTAAGATAGTGACTCTGATTGATTTGCATATTGTATTGGCATATGACTGTTGCTTTTTAGTGAAATTTGCTTCATGAAACTTCAAACTTTATGCAGTATAGGATTTTTTCACCAGGGGAGCAGTAGGAGGCCTATATGCCGAAAAAAGTCCCAAATACCCAAAGAATAAATAATGATGTCATTCTAAAAATCGTAAATATAGTTTTCTCTATAGGGGGCCAGTTGTCCCCTCTGCCCCCCCCCCCCATAAATCCTTCAACTTTTTATTTTTTAATAAAC